GGTGCTCCACAGACGTTTGCTGAATGAATGAATGAATGAATGAATGACTACAGCTCTCTGATGCCCCAGAGGCAGGAATTCCCTGCTTAGCACTGACATTGTGGGCCACACTTGCTCTTGTGGGAGGCAGCAGCCCTACTGAGTCATTGCAGCTTGTTCCTGGGTCTCAGCCTCTTGGAGATCCCATGAGCCTGCAGTGCCCTTTATTACATGCCTTTCTCCACATGCCAGCTGCAGTCAGCTTCTGTTGCAGCCTCTAAAGACATCCCAGATCCCCTCACAATTAAGGGAGAGAAACAAGTGAGTCACATGGGATACAGGACATGCTCCCAGACATTTCCACTCCCCACCCACATGGAGGGGCTGCTGGAGACAGAATGCTTGTATCCCCTTCCCATTTCTTTTCTTTTTCTTTTGAGATGGAGTCTCGCTCTTGTTGCCCAGGCTGGAGTGCGATGGTGCAATCTTGGCTCACTGCAACCTCTGCCTCCCGGATTCAAGTGATTCTCCTGCCTCAGCCTCCTGAGTAGCTGGCATTATAGGCATGCACCACCAGGCCCGGCTAATTTTGTATTTTTAGTAGAGACGCGGTTTCTCCACGTTGGGCAGGCTGGTCTTGAACTCCTGACCTCAGGTAATCTGCCCGCCTTGGCCTCCCAAAGTGCTGGGAAACCAAGCGCGAGCCACCGCGCCTGCCCCACTTCTCATTTCATATGTTGAAACTCTAATCCCCAATGGGATGGTGTCATGTTTGGAGATGGGGTCTTTGGGAGGTGATTATATCATGAGGGTGCAGCCTTTAGGGTGGGATGAGGGCCCTTATTAGAAGAGACATGAGAGGGCTGGCTGCCTCAATCTCTTCTCTTAGCCATATGCAGACACAATGAGAAGATAGTGATTTGCGAATCAGAAAGTGAGCCCGCCTCAGACTGTACATCCACTGGCACCTTGATCTTGGACTTCCTGGCCTTCAGAGCTTTGAGCAATAGATATTTGCTGTTTAAGACACCCACTCTGTAATAGTTTGTTATAGCAGCCAGAACTGATTAAGGCAGGGACTGAACTGGGGGCCAGTGCTGCCCTTACGTATTCAGAAATCATGACCTTCTATCCTTAAATGGCTTGGCTGCTGAGGACTGCCCAGTACAGGCTGGACACAGGGGAGGCCCTTGGTGGGGGGGTGTTTCCTGAAGGAACCAGTGAATGAGCGATTTAGCATCTGTGGGAGGCAGCTACGTGCCTTCGATTCAGGTGGTCCTATATTAGAATCCTGACTCTGCCACTGATAAGCTGATTTGTTGTCTGGTGTTTTAGAGATGTCTTAAACCACCTGAGTCTCTGTTTCATCCTGGATAAAATGGAGATTCAACCTGCATGCCTCTCAGATCTTGTCTCCCTGCATGCTCCTTGCTCATTGCGGGAAGCAGAAAAGTTCCTCTTTAAAGTTTCCTTTCTTGTTAAAGATTAAGTGTGCCAATAACTTTGTTAAGCCCCATCCTATGTAGCTGTTAGACATGCCATGCTTACAGGCACGTAGTACATTCTATGTTCTTGTACTTTAACCAGGATATCTATGCTGGATGTGCTCACAGGCATGTCCCAACTCTCCACTGCTTTGACCTGTTTAGAAAAGTTTTAAGTTGTTAGCCAATTGGGTTTTAGTTTAGATGGTGAGGTCTGGCTCCAGCCAGTGTAGGTCAGACACAGCAGTAAGGACGACCCCAAATGTGTGAGAGATAAATAGATGTTTCCCTTTGTTCACTGTACTCTCATGGCAAGATGGCTAGCGAGGGTCCCCTTCCTGCAGTCCAGGAAGTAAAAATTGTGTTGCTGAAATATCCTTTGTCTCAGTGCTGATTTTTCTTTGAGGCACCGAGCATCTATTTCCAACACTCACCAACAAGCTAGTCTAGCCTCGGGGCCTTGGCATCTGCTGCTCCCTGTGCCAGGAGCTCTGTCTCCCCAGCTATCTACATGGGTCCCTCTTGTCTTGGTCCATTAGGGCTGCTATAACAAAACACCATAAGCTGGGTGGCTTATAAACAACAACAATTTATTCTTTACAGTTTTGGAGGCTGGGGAGTCCAAGATCAGGGTGGCAGCGTGGTCCGGTTCTGGGGCGGACCCTCTTCTGGGTTGCAGATTGCTAACGTCTTGCTGTGTCCTCACATGGTGGAGGGGCCAAATGAGCTCCCTTGGGCCTTAGTTATAAGCACAAGAAGGGCCAGTGTATTAGTCAGGGTTCTCCAGACGGACAGAACTTACAGGGTATATGAACATGTATTACTAAAAAGGAGTTTAGTAAGAATTGGCTCCTATGATCACAAGGTGAAGGCCCATGATACGCTGTCTGCAAGCCGGGGAAGAAAGAAGCCAGCAGTGGCTTGGTCTGAGTCCAGAAAGCCCCAAATAGGGAAGCCAGTGGTGCAGCCTTGAGTCCGTGGCCAAAGGCCTCAGAGCCCCTGGGAAGCTACTGGTGCAAGTCCAAGGGTCCAAAGGTAAAAAACAAAAACAAAAACTGGAGTCTGATGTCTAAGGCCAGGAGGAGCAGAAGAAAGCACCCAGCATAGGAATGAGAAGGAAGCCAGAAGTCCCTGCAAGCAAAACGATCCCACCTTCTGTCGCCTGTTTTGTTTTTTTGTCTCACCGGCAGCCAGTTGGATGGTGCCCACCTGATATGGTTTGGCTGTGTCCCCACCCAAATCTCATCTTGAACTGTAGCTGCCATAATTCCCATGCATTGTGTGAGGGACCTGGTGGAAGATAACTGAATCATGGGGCCAGTTTCCCCCATAGTGTTCTCATGGTAATGAATAAGTCTCACGAGATCTGATGACTTTATAAGGGGGAAACCCCTTTGGCTTGGTTCTCATTCTCTCTTGTCTGCCACCATGTAAGACGTGCCTTTCACCCTCTGACATGATTGTGAGGCCTCCTCAGCCACGTGGAACTGTAAGTCCATTAAACCTCTTTTTTTTCTTTATAGATTACTCAGTCTTGGGTATGTCTTTAACAGCAGTGTGAAAATGGACTAATCCACCATCCACATTGAAGGTGGGTCTTCCTCGCCTAGTCCAAGTCAAATGTCAATCTCCTTTGGCAACACCCTCACAGACACACTCAGAAACAATACTTCACCAGCTATCTAGGCATCCTTCAGTCCAATCCTGTGATGCCAAATATTAACCATCACAGCTGGGCATGGTGATTTACTCTTGTAATCCCAGGACTAGGAAGCCAAGGTGGGAGGATTGCTTGAGGCCAGGAGTTTGAGACCAGCCTGAGCAATACAGTAGACAGTCTCCACAATCTTTTTAATGAAAAAAAAGAAAAAAATATATATATATATACTTATGTGTACATATATGTATACATATATGGGCATAAAATCCATTCACAAGTGCTCTACCCTCATGATTCAATCACCTCCCATGAGCCCCAATTTTTTTTTTTTTTTGAGATGGAGTCTTGCTTTATTGCCCAGCCTGGAGTATAGTGGCACAATCTTGGTTCACTGCAACCTCTGCCTCCTGGGTTCAAGTAATTCTCCTGCCTCAGCCTCCCAAGTGGCTGGCATTACGGGTGCCTGCCACCATGCCCAGCTAATTTTTGTATTTTTAGTAGAGACAGGGTTTTACCATGTTGGCCAGGCTGATCTCGAACTTCTGATCTCAGGTGATTCACCCTCCTAGGCCTCCCAGATTGCTGGGATTACAGGCGTGAGCTACCATGCCTGGCCTGAGCTCCACTTTCTAATACCATCATCTTGGGGGTTAGGATTTCAACATATAATTCTGTGGGGACGCAGACATCAGTCCACAGTGCCTCCCTCCCTCAATCACCTTCTTCTGGTATCTCCTCTAAGGTCACTTCTTCAGTGAGGTCTCCCTGATGACCTCCCTTCCCATGTTACATCATCTGGCTCGTATTCTTTACTCAGCAAGTCACAACCACTGTGTGCCTCCATTTTTCCATCTGTAAAATGGACACAATAATGGCACCCACCTCATGGAGTTGCTTTAAGGTAAAAATGAGTAAATATGGAGTAGGGGTTCTCTACCAGGGGTGATTCTTCTCTCAGGGTGGAGACATTTGGTAATATCTGAAGACATTTTTGGTTGTCAGGACTATGAAGGTGCTACTGGCACCTAGTGAGTAGAGGTCAAGGGTGCTGCTGAAATCTCTGCAATGCACGAACCCTTTACTAGGAGGAATTGGCCAATACAAAACATCAGTAGTGCCGAAGCTGAGAAACTATGCTTTAGGGAGAATGTTTAAGCCAGTGCATGGCTCTTAACGAGCACCCAAGAAATGCCAACTGTCATTAGGGTCCACCACTCTGTCCCTCACACTTTACTCCGAGTGGATTCATCAGTAAATACTCGCCTTATGAACATAAAGATTGAGGGATGCATTCCTTACAACCAGGCATACAGTAAGTGCTCAATAAAAATTTAGTGGCCAGGCACGGTGGCTCACGCTTGTAATCCCAGGACTTTGGGAGGCCGAGGTGGGCGGATCACCTGAGGTCAGGTATTCGAGACCAGCCTGCCCAACATGCCGAAACCCTATCCCTATTAAAAATACAAAAATTAGCTGGGCGTGGTGTCGGGTGCCTGTAATCTCAGCTACTCGGGAGGCTGAGGCAGGAGAATTGCTTGAACCCAGGAGGTGGAGGTTGCAGTGAGCCGAGATTGTGCCACTGCACTCCAGCCTGGGCGACAAGAGAGGAACTCTGTCTAAAAAAAAAAATTTTTTTTTGGTTAATGAGATGGTGCATTCTCCAGTGCCAGGCACGAGGCAGGCATTTCATAGATATTTTATTAGTTAATGCATGTGAGGCTTAAAGGCTATCTCCGGGGATTGGTCTACAGTAGACACTCAATATGTATGAATAAATGAGAGAACCAAATGAAATGGTGTTTGCACAGGGCCTGGTGCGTGGTAGCTGCTCAGGGCTCATTAGCTTCCCCATCTCATCCCCAGACCCTAACACTTACCAGCTACTTGGACCTCAGTCTTTGCCTTCATAGTCCAGTCAGAGTTGATGGTGATGGCTACTTGGTAGGTGCCGCTGTCTGTAGGCTGGGCGCGGCGCAGCAGCATGGAACCATTGGGGAAGCCCACAATGTCTCGCTGTCCCATGGCACTGCCATCCCTTTGGGGCCGTTGTATCCCGGGGATGTAGGTAAATAGTCTCGTGCCTCCATAGGTCTCCTCCCCCAGGTACCAGTTGATGTCCTGGAAGGTGTCTGGGACACCCTGGACGGACAAGAGAAGGTCCCGGTTCTTCTGAGGCTGCTCTGGAATCTTCTGGATGTGGAGGGCTGCCTGGGAGCTTTGGAGCATCCAGAGGACCAGGATTGAGGCTGTGGGAAGTTATAGGGAAAGGCTGAGATCAGGGGTGTTGCCAGGGTTCATGGTATGCTCCTCTCTAGACAAGAGATTTTCACTGGGGAGCAAGGACTCTGAGTGCTGCTCATTGGAAACAGTCCTGGGATTGATTATCGATATCTGCCATGGGTGCAGGAGTGGGAACACAGGCGTGGATACCACAGATTTGCCATCCTACTGATCCAGAGGTTTTTCTACATTGAGATGCTGTGTGGCCTGCTTCTAAACACATGGACCCTCTGAATTCATTCATTCATTCATTCAATCAATACTTATAGGCATGTATAATATACAAGCTACACTACCAACTGTATATAATACATCTACACTTCTTTCAATGTTTAGACACTGGAGATGTAGCAGAAAACCAAACATACATAAATTCCTGCCTTCATTATCCTGACATTAGAGAAAATTCCACAGATAAAACGGTGATGAGGACGTGATTCTGTTGCCCCTCCCCATCTTACTCTGATTTCATCCTCTCAGATCATCTTTCCCTACTTCTAAGAGGAAGCTTCAGTCCCCGGGCTGAGTCCCTCATCCCTTCCCCCCTCGGCCTTTGTGGTGTATCTCCTCCTTACCTGAGAGCAGGAGGCTCTTTGAGAAGCAGCCCTGGATCCCCATGGAAATCTCCATCTTGGCGTCCTGTGGATATGCCAAGGGCCAGAGGGCTGGGCCCTGGCTGTCTGAAGTAGGCAAGCTCAGCGGGGATCCCAGGGGTGCCTTAGAGACCCCGCTGAGGCTGGCCCAGCCCTAGCATACCCTGTTCACAGCCTCTGGAGGCTCCACCTATACTCCCTGGGATGGGAGCACAGACACAGGTTGAACCAGTTTTTCAGGGTGACTGGGGAACTTCCCAGGACTCCTCCCCTGACCCTCTTGAACCTCTTTTTCTCACTCAGGGTGACTGCTACAGCAGTCACTGTAACAACAGTCATAGCAGCCTCTGTTTGAACAACTTCCCTGGGTTTGCTCATTCAGCAGCCACCATAAATAACTGTTCCCATTGCACACATGTGAAAACAGAGGCCCAGGAAGAGGCAAGTCTGCCCATAGACAGCCGTGGGATTTCACCTGTGGCTGACTCACTTGAAAGCTCTGAGGCAGGCCAGGCGAGGTGGCTCATGCCTGTAATTCCAGCACTTTGGGAGGCCGGGGTGGGTGGATCATGTGGTCAGAAGTTCAAGACCAGCCTGGCCAACATGGTGAAACTCCATCTCTATTAAAAATACAAAAATTAGTCAGGTGTGGTGGCAGGCACCTGTAATCTCAGCAACTGGGGAGGCTGAGGCAGAAGAGTTGCTTGAACCTGGGAGATGGAGTTTGCAGTGGGCTGAGATAGCATCACTGCAGTCCAGCCTGGGTGACAGAGCGAGACACTGTCTCAAAAAAAAAAAAAAAGAAAAAGAAAAGAAAGAAAGAAGGAAAGAAAGCAAGCTCTGAGCCTAGTATCTTAGTCTTGCTGTATTTCCATTCATGAACGTTGAATGTCTTTCCATTTAAATGTGCCACTTATAATTTCATAAATATTTATGGTTTTCAGAGATGTGTTATTACATATTTTTTGAGACCGAGTCTTGCTCTGTTGCCCAGGCTGGATTTCATTGTTCACTGCAGCTTCCAACTTCTGGGCTCAAGCAATCCTCCCGTCTCAGCCTCCTGAGTAGCTAGGACTATAACTGTGTTATCACCATGCCCGGATAATTTTTTTATGTTTTGTAGAGATGAGATCTCACTATGTTGCCCCAGCCTGGTGTCAACCTCCTGGGCTCAAGTGATCCTCCCACCTTGGTCTCCCAAAGTACTGGGATTACAGATATGACTCACCACAGCTGGCTTAGCCTAGTTTTTTAAAAAGCATCCTCCATTCATTCATTCATTCATCCAGCACACATTCTCAGTGCCCAGTTGCGGGTGCTTGGTGATGTTGGTGACACAGTGATGACTGAGACCATCCTCTGTCCACAGTAGGGTACACAGTCCTGTAGCATGTGGCGGGCGTATCCCTCCCCACACAATGATGATCCAGAGTGATCAGGGCTGGAATGGAGGAGGCCAGGAGTCTGGGAGAGCCCAAGGGGACACACCTCATTCAACCTGAGGGGTAGGGAGGGCTTCCTGGAGGTGGGGGCATCTGAGCTGAGACCTGGACTAAGAGTAGAAGTGAGGCAGATGATGGGGTGAGGCTGGGTGAGGGTTACCAGGCAGCATAAACAGCAATGCAAGGGTGTGGAGGCTGATACAGTCATCAAGGCAAATTGAGGAGGTTGCAATATCCTGGGTGAGTGGAGCCAGGAAGGAGCACATGGGACGTGTCTGTGTGAGGCAGGGTGGTGTGCTCTCTTGGTTGGAACAACAGAGCTTGAGTGATGGAGAGTCTAGTGTTGCGTTGTTTAATATCGTAGCTATTAGTCATATGTGGCTATTTAAATATAAATTTAGGCCAGGCATGGTGGCTCACATTTGTAATCCCACCTCTTTGAGAGGCCGAGGTGGGAGGACTGCTTGAGCCTAGGAATTTTTTTTTTTTTTTTTTTGAGACGGAGTTTCGCTCTTGTTACCCAGGCTGGAGTGCAATGGCGCGATCTCGCTCACCGCAACCTCCGCCTCCTGGGTTCAGGCAATTCTCCTGCCTCAGCCTCCTGAGTAGCTGGGATTACAGGCACGCGCCACCATGCCCAGCTAATGTTTTGTATTTTTAGTAGAGACGGGGTTTCACCATGTTGACCAGGATGGTCTTGATCTCTCGACCTCGTGATCCACTCGCCTCGGCCTCCCAAAGTGCTGGGATTACAGGCTTGAGCCACCGCGCCCGGCCGAGCCTAGGAATTTGACACCAGCCTGGGCAACATAGTAGCTGGGATTGCAGGCGTGCACCACGACGCCTGGCTAAATTTTGCGTTTTTAGTAGAGACTGGGTTTTGCCATGTTGGCCAGGCTGATCTTGAACTCCTGACCTTAGGTGATCCTCCTGCCTTGGCCTCTCAAAGTGCTTGGATTATAGGCGTGATTCCATCTCTACACAAAAAATTTAAAAAATTAGCTAGGTTTGGTGGCTCTTGACTATAGTTACAGCTACTCAGAAGGCTGAGGCAGGAGGATTACGAAGCCTGGGAGGTCGAGGCTGCAGTGAACTTTGAGCATGACACCACACTCTAGCCTGGATGACAGAGTGAGAGAGACCTTGTCTCAAAAAGAAAATGTTGAATAGGCTAGGCACAGTGGCTCATGCCTATAATCCCAGCACTTTGGGAGGCAGAGACAGGCAGATCACTTGAGGTCAGGAGTTGAAGATCAGCCTGGCCAACCCTGTCTCTACTAAAAATACAAAAATTATCGGGGCGTGGTGGTACACGCCTATAATCCCAGCCACTCTCCACCGGGAGGTGGAGGTTATAGTGAGCCAAGATTATACCACTGCACTCCAGCCTGGGCAACAGAGTAAGACTCCATCTCAAAAAAAAAAAATTGAATATATATATGTAAAAATATATATGTGTGTATAAATATGTATATATATATGTGTGTATATATATTCAAAGTAATTAAAATTAAATGCATTAAAAAAATGCAGTTCCTCAAACTAGTCACTTTCAAGTGCTCACTAGCCCTGTGTGATCAGTGGCTACTACACTGGACAGTACAGATGGAGAATGCTTTCATCATCATCTCAGAAAGTTCCATCCGGAGCAAGAGCTGACCTAGGGATTTGAGGCAGGCGTGCCAGGCATTTCTACCTGGTGAGGGCCATGAGGAAGAGACAGCGAGGTCGGGGTGTGATGTATCCATAGCACTTTATGGGTGTCTGAGTGTTCTGGACACATGTCTTCAGCCTGCTGGGGGTGATGGTATCTTCCAGAGGCCCCAGGTTGAGGCAAATCAGGAATCTTTTGAGACGGAGTCTTGCTCTGTCACCCAGCTGGAGTGCAGTGGTGCGATCTCGGCTCACTGCAACCTCCACCACCTGGGTTCAACTGATTCCCCTGCCTCAGCCTCCCGAGCAGCTGGGACTACAGGCACCCGCCACCACGCTGGGTTAATTTTTTGTGTTTTAGTAGAGATGGCGTTTCACCATGTTGGCCAGGATGGTCTCGATCTCCTGACCTTGTGCTCCTCTCGCCTTGGCCTCCCAAAGTGCTGGGATTGCAGGCAAATCAGGAATCTTGACGTGGAACCACCTTGAAGGATGGGGTGGCCCGGCTATAGGCTGATAGGCTGCAGACTCCAGGGAAGCTCTGCCGTGAGCTGGCGGGTCAGGCTGAAAATCTGGTTTTACTACCAAGTGGCTGGGGGGTCTTGTGGCAAATGACCTCACCTCTCAAGAATGGGGATAAGCATCACCACCTCACAGGGATGTTGGGAGAACAGCGTACAAGAGGCCCCGGCAAACGAGCGACAAACGCCCGCCATTCTTCTTATTGTTGGTGTTGACCCTGTCTTTGGACTTACCCCACCTACCACATTGCCCCCACCCTCATGACCCTGCTCAAGAGAAGTATATTTTCCCTGGAGGGATTTTTAATCCTCCACATCCCCAATGTTTCTTAATGCCTGAAAGATTTTCTTCCTTCTTTCTTCCCTCCCTCCCTCCTTCCTTTTTCTTTCTTTATTTTCCCGAGACAGTTTCACTCTTGTTACCGAGGCTGGAGTGCAGTGGCACAATCTCGGCTCAATGCAACCTCTGCCTCCCAGGTTCAAGCAATTCTCCTGCCTCAGCCTCCGGAGTAGCTGGGATTACAGGCACGCGCCACCACATCCAACTATTTTTGTATTTTTAGTAGAGATGGGGTTTCTCTATGTTGGTCAGTCTGGTCTCGAACTTCCGACCTCAGGTGATCCACCCCCCTCAGCCTCCCAAAGTGCTGGGATTACAGGTGTGAGCCACTGTGCCTGGCACGCCTGGAAGATTTTATGTTGGGTTCGTGGGTCAGAGTACCCTCAGAATCTACCTTCAAACCTTTTTTTTTTTTTTCCTGAGACAGAGTCTCGCTCTGTTGCCCAGGCTGGAGTATAGTGGCATGATCTCAGCTCACTGTAACCTCCGCCTCCCAGGTTTAAGGGATTCTCTGCCCTAAGCCTCCCCAGTAGCTGGGATTACGGGTGCCTGCCACCACACCCGGCTTATTTTTGTATTTCTAGTAGAGACGAGGTTTTACCATGTTGGCCAGGCTGGTCTCGAACTCCTTACCTCAGGTGATCCGCCCTCCTTGGCCTCCTAAAGTGCTGAGATTGCAGGCGTGAGCCACTGCACCCGGCCCTTCGGTCCTTGCTGCAGTTTTGCAATTTTCTTGGTCTGTCTCCTGAAGAGAGGTTGTTGCAAACCCAGCAATTATTTCCAGGCACGTAATGCAAAGCCAGCTATTCTCAATTTTCCGGTGGCTGGATTCTACCCTCTCTCCTGTCTCCCTCCCTGCCTCTCTTTCTCTCTTTCTTCCTCTCCCTTTCAAATAATGACTTCGATTCCGTTTGCATTATTAAAAGAAGAGTCAAGGTTTATTATAGAATATTTAGGCAGTACTTAAAAGAGAATAAACCCAGACATCTTCTAACTACTCAGAGGTAGGCACTGCTAGTCACAGAGGTCTAGGCCGTCCTGCAGCCTTCATCCGGGCCTCTCCCCAGCCCCAGAGAGCAGGTCCTGATTGGTCCAGCTTCCCAGGCGGTCCCACTCTTTTGGCCAGGGATTGGTTGAGCGGTAGGAGGCGCTGGGGAATGAGACCGGAAAAGACGCTGCTGGGTGAAGCTTCTCGTTCCCACGGAGGCTCACCCAGGTAGGGATGGGCAGCTTCTCTGGCTCTGAGTCTGGATGTGATGCCCGGAATGCAGCAGCCATATTGGCACCAGAGGGTGATGCCCGTATGTGGAGGAAAGCTGAACAAACAGCAGAGAAGTAGAGCCGTGCCCAGAGTAGACCAGTTCTTTTTTTTTTTTTTTTTTTTTTTTTTTTTGAGACAGGGCTTTGCTCTTGTCATCCAGGCTGGAGTGCAGTGCCTCCATCATGGCTCACTGCAGCCTCTGCCTCCTGGGTTGAAACAATTCTCCCACCTCAGCCTCCTGAGTAGCTGGGATTACAGGCATGCACCACCATGATTGGCTAACTTTTTGGAGAGATGGGGTTTTTCACCATGTTGGCCAGGCTGGTCTTGAACTCCTGACCTCAAGTGATCCACCTGCTGCAGCCTCCCAAAGTGCTGGGATTACAGGCATGAGCCACCATACCCAGCCCATAATTTAAAAAAAAAAAAAAGATTTCAGTAGCACAGGCATTTTCACTCCAAGCAATCTGCAACCCAGAGGCTTCTGGGACCTCACAGCTCCTCAGGGCGAGATCATATTGACCTGAAAAGACTCCCCTCTCCCATGCAGGAGCAATGTGGAGGGAGGGTTTGGAGTGTTTTAGTCTCTTTATGATCTCCACCATATCCCGCCTCCCACCAATTCTCTGATATGGGTAGTTGCAGTTTTTCTCTTTCTTTTCTTCTTTCTGAGTGCAGTAGCACAATCCTGGCTCACTTCAACATCTGCCTCCCAGATTAAAGCGATTCTCTGGCCTCAGCCTCTCAAGTAGCAGGACTACATGTGTGTGCCACCACATCCAGCTAATTTTTGTATTTTTAGTAGAGACAGGGGTGTCACCATGTTTGTCAGGTTGGTCCCAATCTCTTGACCTCGTGATCCACCTGTCTCGGCCTCCCAAAGTGTTGGGATTACAGGCCTGAGCCACTGTGCCCGGCTGTTTTCTTAAACTTACAACTTTATACAAGACCTATACCAAAATTCTGGGTCCACTCTCCATTCCTAGTTCTGTGGACTCCAAGGATGCCCCCTCCCTCCAGATAAAGGTCATCATCTACATCGCTGGTGGGAACAGAGCTCAGCATGAATTCTGTGAGGGTTCATTTGTCAATATTAATCACAATGACAAGAAACATACTCTTTGGCTCAGCAATTCCACCTCCAGGAGTGTGTCCTACACTTAGGTGTCAACATGAGCTCAATGACAGCGTGCTTTGGCCAGGCACGGTGGCTCATGCCTATAATGCCAGTACTTCAGGAGGCTGAGGCGGGAGGATTGCTTGAGCCCAGGAGTTTGAGAACAGCCTGGGCAAGATGGCAAGATCCCTGTCTCTAAAATAAAATAAAATAAATAAAAACATAACAGTGTGTAAAGTTATTCACTACAACACAATAATAGTAAAAGGCTGGAAATGATACAAATGCCTGTCCTTTGGGGCCTGGTTTAAAAACCTGTACATTCCTCCCATGGAATATGAGGTAGAATAACTAAGGAGGCATTCTGTGAATTACCAGAAACTGTGAGCAGCAAAAGTCAGGTCCAGGGCTGGGCGCAGTGGCTCATGTCTGTGATTCCAGCACTTTGGGAGGCCGAGGCAGGAGGAGCACTTGAACCTAGGAGTTCCAGACCAGCCTGGGCAATACAACGAGATGCCCATTTCTAAAAAAAAAAATTTTAGCCAGGTGGGGTGGTGCCCACCTCCGGAGGCTGAGACAGGAGGCTCACATGAGCCCAGCAGGTGGAGGCTGCAAGGAGCCATGATCAGGCCACTGCACTCCAGCCTGGTCAACAAAGCAAGACTCTTTCTAAAATAAACAACTAAATAAATAAATAAAGGGTACTATTCAATGGTGTTTTTGGTACATAATATATTTTCAAAATTGTGGTTAAAAAGAGATAACAGAAAATTTGCCATTTTAGCTACTTCTGAGTGTATGATTCAGCGGGATTCACTGCATTCATCGTGTTGTGAAACTGGATATCCATGTGCAAAAGAATGGAGCTGGATGACTACTCTAAACACGAATTAACTCAGCATGGATCCCTGATGTCTTTTTGTCACTTTGAATTTTGGGAAGCTGAGGTACTATCTAATTAAAAAAATCAGCTTGGCACGGTGAGGTGTGCCTGTCATCCAGCTACTTGGGAGGCTGAGGTGGGAGGATTGCTTGAGCCCTGGAGTTAGCGGGGCTGCAATGAGCTAGGGTAGTACCACTGTACTCCAGCCTGGGTGACAGTAGACATTGTCTCTTCAAATTTTTTTTGGAGAGGAAAAAAAAAAAAGAAAGACAAGCAAGCGGTTCCTAAGGAATCGCAGCCCTTATGGCCTTCTTCATTTAAGTCTTGCTTCCACGCCCCTGGTTCCAGCCCACGTGGCAACAGTACACCTGAAACCTGTCTCCTCCTTGATTTCCACCAGAGGCCCCATTGCACACAGCCAGTGCAGATGCAATAAATAAGCTTTAATGAGGTTCTGGAGGCTGGAGACAGATGAGGATCTTATGTACCACCAAAGCAACCAATGTTCCTTTGTCTCCCCAACTCTGTCAGGTCCTATTGGCCTCGACACCCCTTGAATCCCTTGCCCCAGCCATGGTCTCTTCCCCACACTTCCCTGTTCCCCATTCCTCCATCTCTGTCCAGAGCAAATCTATGTCCCGCTTATTTTCTCTTGCAGAGCAGCTCGAGCTTTGCTTTCCCATTTAGCATCTTGGCCCAAGGTCTTCTCTCCTTCATACTATTTTCCTAGACAGTTTTCTTTATAAGAGGAATTCTGGTGCCTGCCCTCAAGATCATAGAATTTTTTTTTTTTTTTTTTTTTTTTTTTGAGATGACGTCTTGCTTTGTCACCCAGGCTGGAGTGCAGTGGCGCGATCTCGGCTCACTGTAATCTCCACCTCCCGGGTTCAAGCCATTCTCCTGTTTCAGCCTCCTGAGTAGCTGGGATTACAGATGCATGCCACCACACCCAGCTAATTTCTGTATTTTTATTAGAGACGGGGTTTCGCCACGTTGGCCAGGCTGGTCTTCAACTCCTGACCTTGTGATCCACCCATCTTGGCCTCCAAAAGTGCTGGGATTACAGGTGTGAGCCACCGCACCCAGCGATGTTCGATGGTAGACCTTTATAAAGAAAATTTGTCAGTTGCATCTGAGCAGCTCAGCCTCCTGGGTCTTGGGTCTCCTGCATCTGGGCCCTACAGGAGGGTGCCCTGAGCAACTGCAGCACCGCCTCTCCCTCCATCCCTCCCCCTTGCGCTGGAAATAGCATTTGCTTCTTTTGTGGATTATTTCCTGCCAGCCCCCAGCTTGCTGGCTGCGGATGCTGGCAGAAAGTGGCTGCAGCTGACAACCTTCTCCAAGTTCGCGTCTCTGCTCCTTGGACAACCCCCAGGCAGCTGCTTGTGGTATGAGTTCCAGCCTCTGGTGACCAGGGTCAGTGGCTGTTTCTTGTAACCACAGAGATCTGACAGATACAGAGACTTAGAAGCTCAAGGCCGGAGGCCAAATTTTTACCCAAATTCTCTGGGGGTCCACACCATTCTGTGTGGTCCACTATGCAGTAAAGGCTTAGCCTTGCCCAAAGAAAGACCGGGCCCTTTATTCTCAGCTCTTGGGCATTCATCTCTAAGCTCTTGGAATACCCTGCCTGACAGCCCATCTGAGCTGATCATGCTAATGCTGTGATTTATGGTGAGGGGGCCTTGGGCCACATGGTATTGGCTTGATGCATGAGGTCAGCCATGTGGCTGGTGAGCTGCTTAATTCAGCACTTTGGGAGGCTGAGGCAGAAATAACACTTGGGGCCAAGAGTTTGAGACCAGCCTGGACAACACAGGGACACCCTGTCTCTACAGATAATAAAAAGATTAGCCACGCATGGTGGCACATGCCTGTGGTCCTAGCTACTCAGGAGGCTGAGGTGGGAGAATGACTTGGACCTGAGGTCAAGGCTGCGATGAGCTGTGATCTCACCACGGCACTCCCGTCTGGCAGCAGAGCCAGACCCTGCCTCAAGACAAACAAAGAAAAAACTCTGCGGCCGGACGTGGTGGCTCACACCTGTAATCCAAGCACTTTGGAGGCCAAGGCGGGTGGATCACCTGAGGTTGGGAGTTCAAGACCAGCCTGACCAACATGGTGAAACCCCATCTTAAAATATATATATTTAAAAAAATAAAACTCTGGACACGAAGGTCTGTGGCTGGCAGTACTTCTTGCGTGTCGTCGCATGTCGTTGCTGTGAGAATCAGGTGCTGCCTACACGGCTCCACTGGGAGGGGACGGCTGGAAGCTGTCGGCTCATCTCTCCGGGAATGTGTGCTGGGCAGCACCTCGCTTTGCTGATTTTAATCTCTGTCCTTTTGCCATAATAAACTGTAACTGGAGCTTAACAGCTTTCCTGAGTCCAGTGAGTCCTAGCAAATGAGCTCAGGGTGGTCTTGGAGACCTCTGAACCTGCACCTACCACCGTGTTTTGAGGTCTGGCATGGGAAGGAGGCTGGTCTCTTTGAAGGGGTCTTCATCCATTGGGGTGGGGTCCAACTCTGGAGGCCCACGTCCTTGCCAGCTCCAGTCTCTCTCCCCGCTCAGACTCGACGCTGTCACCTTGTGCCCTCTGTCTGGGGCTCCTGGGAAGATATGGCTACAGGGGCATAGGAGACGGGCTGGAAGAGAGTTTTCAAACCTTAGCCTCAGGGCTCTTTTGAACAAAATCAAAGAACATCTTCCCACGGAAGACCAATGTGCAAAGAACGACAGGCCTGTCCCCTCCCCTCTCCCTGGAAGCCAGGGCAGTGCTTCTCAAGGTGTGGCCAAGGGCAGAGTTGGTGGGGAGGGCCGATATTAAAATGCAGATACCCTGGCCTCGGCACAGCACACTGTCGGGGGCTGCATCTTAGCAAACACTACAGGGGATTCTGCCCAGCAGGAAGGGTTGGGAAATACTGCTTAAGGCAGCAGGAGAAAAGACCCAGAAGACCCAGGCTCCTGAGTCTGGGCTGGGCATCTGGAGACGTCTGGTTTGTAGTTCGTGCAGTCCCCACGCCCTCCTCAGCTCCCACACTGCACTCACCCTATTAACTGAGGTGCTGGCAGCCGTCGGACCTGGGGAAATAGGAGGGGAAGTCGTCAGGAAGGAACAAGGCTGGGAAGCTGGGAAGAAGATATGCCGGGTGTCAGGGCCCTGAAAACGCCAAGTTCTGCCTCTGTCATTACATGGGGCGCCACTTCTCTTAACGCTATACACGTTTGTCACACAGGGATGGCGAGTGTGCTCGTCAAGGATGTGAGACCAGCCTGGGCAAGACAGCATGATCCCTGCCTCTAAAATAAAAAATAAAATAAATGACAGTGTAGGCCAGGCACCGTGGCTCACGCCTGTAATCCCAGCACTTTGGGAGGCTGAGGTGGGCGGATCACGAGATCAGGAGTTTGAGACCAGCCTGGCCAAACATGGTGAAACCCTGTCTCTACTAAAAATACAAAAATTAGATTTTTAAAATATCTATTAATTAAATAAAGATCCATAAATATCAAGCCTGGGCTCTGGAACCAGATGGATGGGTTCAAATTCCATCTCTGTCCTTTAAGAGCTATGTAACCTTAGACCAGTGACATAACCTCTCTAGTTTCAGTTTCCTAAACTACTGAACGGGGGTTTATTTAGCAAACAGTAGTAGTACTCAGCAAATGGTAAATGTCTGCTTTGTGCCAGGTATATTCTAGGTGCTGGGGACACAGCTGTGAACAAAACACATAAAAACGCCTGCTCTTGGCCAAGCATGGTGGCTCACGCCTGTAATTCCAGAACTCTGCGAGGATTCCAGTACTCTGGGAGGATTCCCAAGGTGGCTGGATTGCTGGAGTCCAGTTCAAGACCAGCCTGGGCAACACAGCGAAACCCCAACTTTATTAAAAATACAAAAAATTAGCCGGGCCTGGGAGTGCATGCCTAGAGTCCCAGCTACTCGGGAGGCTGAGGTGGGAGAATCACCTGAACCTGGGAGGGTGAGGCTGCAGTGAGCTGAGATCATGCCACTGCACTCTAGACTGGGCAACAGAGAGAAAAAATAAAAAAGCCAGGCATGGTGGCTCACGCCTGTAAGCCCAGCACTTTGGGAGGCTGAGGCGGTGAATCACAAAGTCAGAAGTTAGAGACCAGCCTGACCAACATGGTGAAACCCCGTCTCTACTGAAAATACAAAACTTAGTTGGGCGCGGTGGTGCACGCCTGTAATCCCAGCTCGGGAGACTGGGCACGAGATTCGCTTGAACCTGGGAGGCGGAGGCTGCAGTGGGCTGAGGTCGTGCCACTGCACTACAGCCTGGGTGACAGAGTGACAGCCTGCCTCAAAAATAAATAAATAAATATTAAAATCAAGGAAGTTGTAGTGACAGCCTGCCTCAAAATAAGTAAATAAACAAAATTAAATTAAAAATTAAAAAGTAAAATCCAGGAGATCGTACACATAAAGCAGCACATGGACAGTGCTCAGCAAAGTATCACTCCTCTGATTACAGAAAATTAGCTGGTGCACTTCTCCAGAAGGAGCCATGGGAGGGTGATCCAGGCAGGGGAATGGCTTATGCAAATCTCTTGAGGTGTGAAAGCATCAGACCCTGTTAGAGCTGAGGATCAGAGGTGCCGGTTCCTGCCACCTCCTCCTAGAGTCACTCCTGAACAAGGCAGATGGAGTAAGGCTGAGGGGTTAAGCATTATTTCACCCCCATCTTTCTGGCAGGTACTCCCACATCACCTGAATGAAGGGCCGAAGCGTCAGGCCAGATAAGATCTTCTCCCACTCTGTAAATACTTGTAAATATAATCAATGAAGCAGTGAACGGGATTCCCTGGTTCTGCACCCTCGTTGGTCAAATGGGGAAAACCTCATGGCACTGGGGTGAGGATTCAGTGAGAGGCACACGGGAAGGGCTTAGCACAGAGCCCAGCATACAGTAGGTGCTCCATTATGGCAGCTCTGGTGATGCTCACTCGTGGAGACAGATGGCAATGCCAAAGGAACTTACGGGAACATCTGGACCGATAGAAATAAAGCCCAACCCCCAGCAGGGCCAGAACAACCAGGAGTCCCAGAATCAGGAGAAGGATGCTGCTCCCGGGCATGCCTGGGGTTTCACTGGAAGGTCCCTCTGAAAGAGAAGGAAACCGGTATTTAGGTAAGGAAATTCTTGGGGTTTATCCCTCATTCTTGAAATGGCATCTCAAATTTCCTTATGGAGCCATCACTCCACCTGCCTCAGTCTATTTAATTCAGGTGGACTGGATCCTACCCTCTGGTTCCTAGGATGGGACTTTGATACAGGCCTGGCCAATCAGAACATTCCATTCTCCCTGGCTGCTGTGATTGGTTCATAGGTGGACTGTGGCCTAAGCTGGGCCAATGAGAGCCAGCCCTGGGACTTTGGCTACAGTTATGGAAAATGTTTTTTTTTTTTTTCTCCTGCTGTTGCTATTCTGGTAGGATATGAGCCTGTCATTGCTGAGGGCTATCTTGCTTCCCTGAGGACAGAGCATTCCTGAGAATCAAGCCAGTACAACGAAAAGCAGAGACAAGAGATGTATAAAATAAAAGTTCCTGGATTACATAGTTGGAACCCCTGGATCTAACCATACCTGAAGGTGACAATTTCAATAAACTCCTGGATTTCTGTGTTTTTTCTTAGACTACTTTGAGTTGTGCTTCTGTCAACTGCAGTTGATAGAGCTCTGCCTAATACATTTGCAAAGGCCCGAGTCCCTGAGAGAGAGGGATTCCACATCTATCCCAACCTAGGTGTGCAGAGGGAGTGTATTCAGGCAGCTGAACAACGGTACCAGCGGTATAGGTATGGAGTTCACAGGGGAGTAAAGCTGGCCTCACTGGTCCTTTCGTGAGAAGGCTTAGGAGAAGGAAGGGAGCCGGCTGCTGTGATTGGTTCATAGAGAGCATCGGAGAGGGAACCCTGCCGCCACCTCTTCCTTTGGTCCCCGTTCTCCCCACCCAGGGAGTTCCTCACCTTTGACCTGGACAGTCAGTTCTGCCTGGCGAGCTCCTAGGGCACTGGTGACGTTGCAGATGAAAGTTGTATTGATTGACATGTCCACAGGTTGGATGAGGAGCTGGGTGCCCTGAGCCACAGCAGAGGGAGGCAAAGGACCCATGGTCCTGGGAGAGACAGAGGGTGAGTCTCTGCTGCGAGTCCGGAGTGATTGAGCACCCACTACCTGCCAGAAACCCTCACGCCCTCTATGGTATAAGCCAAGAGCAATCCTGGAGGACCCCCCAGACTCCCGACTCTTCCCTTCCTCTCATGCCCACACCCAACCCATCAGCCAATCCTCAGACCCCGCCCCAAGATCCATCCAGAATCCCACCGCTCCTCAGGGCTTCCACGGCCACCTCCCTGCTCTGACTGGGTGCATCCTGGCCCCCAGCAGCTGCCTCCACGCTGGGCTCCATTTCTGCCCTCGCCCCCTCGTCTGTTCCCCACGTGGCCACCAGAGGTCGCCTATGAACCCTAAGTCAGTTCCCATCCCTTAGCTCAGCACCCTCTGGTGGCTCAGCCTGGCTCAGAGTAAAACCCAACTCTTCTCCGTGTCACAGGCCCCACGTGATCTGGCTCCTGCTACCTCTGCCCCTGTTTTCCATGATCCTCCCCTTTGTTCCCGCCTCTGTATCCACAGTGGCCTTGCTGGTCTTCAAACTCTCCAATTAGGTGTCCTGGGTGTTTGCTTATGCAGGGACTGATGGATAGAAATGGATTTGCCCGGCCGGGCGCGGTGGCTCACGCCTGTAATCGCAGCACTTTGGGAGGCAGAGGCGGGTGGATTACGAGGTGAGGAGTTCAAGAGCAGCCTGGCCAAGATGGTGAAACCCCGTCTCTACTAAAAATACAAAAATTAGCCGGGCGTGGTGGCGGGCGCCTGTAATCCCAGCTGCGCAGGAGGCTGAGGCAGAGAAGTGCTTGAACCAGAGAGGTGGTGGTTGCAGTTGAGCTGAGATTGCGCCACTGCACTCCAGCCTGGGTGACAGAGTGAGACTCTGTCTCAAAAGAAAAAAAAAAAAAGAAGAAAGAAATGGGTTTGCCTATACTGTTCCCTCTGCTAGAATGCTTTCCCAAGTACCCACAGAGCTCACCCTCACCTCCTTCACCTTAGTAACATCTCACTTGGCCACCCTATTTCAACTGTGATGACCACCCTTCCCATCTCCATCCTCTCTCTCTCTCTCTCTCTCTCTCTCTCTCTCTCTCTCTCTCTCTCTCATTTTACTGTTATTTTTTGAGACAGGGCCTCACTCTGTCACGTGTGCTGTAGTGCAGTGGCACCATCTTGGCTCACCGCAACCTCTACCCCCTGGGTGCATGCAATCCTCCCACCTCAGCCTCCTGAGTAGGTGGGACTGCAGGTGTGTCCTCCCACACCCAGCTAAGTTTTGCATCTTTTTTGGTAGAGATGGGGTTTCACCGTGTTGGCCAGGCTGGTCCCGAACTTCTGGCCTCAAGTGATCTTCCCATCTCAGCATCCCAAAGTGCTGGGATTACAGGCATGAGCCACGGTGCCTGGCCCCCATCCCCTTTTCTGCTTTATCTTTTCTCCATGGTATTTATTGCCACTGCACACACTCTACACACTTTACGACTTTATCTTGCTTCTTGTTTCTTTCCCCACTAGAACGGAAGCTCCATTTGGGGAGGAAATCTGGTCTGTTTTATTGACTACTATATGCTGGTTAATTGCACCTGGCACACAGTAAGTAGTCAAGGAACACTAGTTTAATGAACAGAGGTAGAGATGGAAGTATTGGGCTTTGGGCACTCTGCAAAGCTGGGATGCAAACGCAGCCATCTGGCTCAAGAGGCTGAATTGTGGTGCTTTGAGGTAGGACAGTAAGGGCACCGTCACACCATCACAAACCTCTGACCGGCAATTCCTTCTGCCGACAACTGACAAATGACCACGGGGGATGGTCCCCACCATGGCATTTGCAGAGTTGAAAATGGAAACTGACATCTGTGTCCTGTACTAAGGATGGTTAAATAACTGATGACATCCACGTATGTTGGAATCCCTTCCCTGCACTTTGGGAGGCCCAGGCGGGAGGACTGCTTGAGTTCAGGAGTTCAAGACCAGCCTGGGCAACACAGTCAGATCTCATCTCTATTTCTTAAAAAAAAATTTTTTTTAAAGGTGATGCAATCCCAGCAACATTAAAAAAGGGGCCATGTTAGCCAGGCGTGGTAGTGTGTGCCTGTAGTCCCAACTATCTGGGAGGCTGAGGCTGGAGGATCACTTGAGCCCAGGAGCTGAAAGCTTCAGTGAGCTGTGATTGTGTCACTGCACTGAGCCACAGAGTGAGGCCTTGTTTTTAAAAAAGAAACAAACAAAGCAGGGGAGCTGAGGGTGCTTTGAAATGCATAATATGATTGAGGGATGAATAGAGGGACAGGAGGAGTCACAGAAATGTGATAAAGCAAGCACAGTAAAATGTTAGTGGGGGAATCCACATGGTGGAATCTTAACTGTTCACTGGAAAATTAGGGTTTTTCTGTATGTTTGACAATATTCCTAATACAGTATGTGGGAAATGGGCTTGTGGACCTATGTGCTTTGAGAGGGAAACGTATTCACAAGATAGAGGAAAAGTTTCAAAGTTATATGTATGGCATAATTCCAGTTTTTGTTTAGGAACACAGAGAAAAAAGACAGAAGGGTGTATAATAAGGGCCACTGGGTATTTCTGGAGGTGGCTGGGTACACTTGACTAGAGGTGCTGCTGTCTTCTTTTTGCTCATAACTCAATGGCCTGACATTTCTACAGCGGACATGAGCTATTTTTGTAATAAGGAAAAAGGCCTAAGGCTGGGTGAGGTGGCTCATGCCTGTGATCACAGCATTTTGGGAGGCAGAGGTGGGTTGATTGCTTGAGCCCAGGAGATTGAGACGAGCCTGGGCAATGTGGCAAAATCCTGTCTCTGCAAAAAAATACAACAAAATTAGCTGAGTGTGGTGGCCCATGCCTGTAGTTCCAGCTACTCAGGAGGCTAAGTGGGAGGATCACTGAGCACAGGGAGGTTCAGTCTGCAGTGAGCTATGATCATGGCACTGCACTCCAGTCTGGGTGACAGAGCCCCAGCCCCTCCTCCCTTAGATGCCAGAGTCCAGGCCCCCAGCCCCTCCTCCCTCAGACCCAGGAGTCCAGGCCCCCAGCCCCTCCTCCCTCAGACCCAGGAGTCCAGGCTCCCAGCCCCTCCTCCCTCAGACCCAGGACTCACGTGCTCCACTCATAGCCTGTGGGCTCTGGGTTGCCGCGAGCGTCGCAGGTCAGGCTGGCCTCAGTCTGGCCGAGGTACCAGTTGCCATCATAGCCAGAAATGGATACCTCTGGGGGATCTGCAGGAAGTGGACACAGAGGTTCAGAGACAGGGAGCCTTTGGTGGGCCTAGGCTTACATGGGATTCACATTACAGCAGGAGAAGGTCTGGGCATGTTAGGGGCACAGTGGGAGCTGGACAGGCCTAGGAGGGGTCTAGGGAGATGGGGTGCCACGGAGAGCAGAAGCCTGCGAGTCCCTGGTCAGTGGGGACATGGAGAGGGCCTCTGAGGACCTGCTTTTCTCCGCTAGCTTTCCTAGGTAGCCTGGTCCAGGTACGTGTTGGGTGTCCTGTGGGAAAAGGCCTCCTTGTCTCACTCACAGGCAACTGTCACTCGTAACACACAGCAGTGTATTCAAGGCTCTGACAAGTCCTGCGGGAAGGAGTCCTGGAGAAATCACCCTGCTCTAGGGTGCTGCTCAGCCATCCCACACATGACCGACAGCAAAGATCCTTCAGCGTCCTCAGGAGGAAGGTCAGCAGGACAGGGTTTGCTGGGGGGTGAGGGCTAGGAGTCAGTGTGGACGGACTCCAGTATAGACAGCACTTGAGGGAATCTGTGTACCATTGCCTGGCAGGGGGGCAGGCAGTATAAACGAAGATGGAAGGAACAGTATAAATGATGCCTAGAAGAGCTTGTATGGATATTAGTGACAGGCTCAGTGTAGACTTGGCGTTAGAATATCCGAGCAGATGCCATAATGTCTGGCCAGTGTTCAAAATGCTGGGGTGGGGTGAGATCACTCCCATATATAGAGTGTGTCCCAGGGAGCTGGTGAAATTAAAACAGGCTGTGTGTGTGTGTGTCTGTGTGTGTGTGTAGACAGTATTTGGATGAGCCAGTGTAGATAATGTGGAAGCTTCGTCTAGATTTATGCTCTCCAATATGGCACCTACGGGCCACATGTGACTACCGAGCCCTGGAAATATGGCCAGGCCGAGACACACACCAGATTTCAAAGGCTTACTAGGGCAAAATAAATGGGACAGATCTCAAGAAAAAATTTTAGAAATGAATTACAAGTTGAAATAATGTTTTGGGCGTGTTGGGGTAAGTAAAGGCAACTACTAAAATTAATTTTGGCCAGGCACAGTGGCTCATGCCTGTAATCTCAGCACCTTGGGAGGTCGAGGCAGGAGGATCGCTTGAGCCCAGGAGTTTGAGACCAGCCTGGGCAATATAGGGAGATCCTGTCACTACAAAAAATACACTAGGCTGGGTGCAGTGGCTCACGCTTATAATCCCAGCACTTTGGGGGCCAAGTTGGGCAGATCACGTCAGGAATTCGAGACCAGCTTGGTCAGGATGGTGAAAGCCTGTCTCTACTAATAATACAAAAGTTAGCCGTGCATGGTGGTGGGTGCCTGTAATCCCAGCTACTGGGGAGGCTGAGGTAGGAGAATCACTTGAACCCGAGAGGCGGGGGTTGCAGTGAACCAAGATTGCACCACTGCACTCCAGCCTGGGGTGACAAAGCAAGACTCTGTCTCAAAATAAATAAATAAATAAAAATAAATTAGCTGGGCGTGGTGGCATGTGCCTGTCGTCTCAGCTACTTGGGAGGCTGAGGCAGGAGAATAGCTTGAGCATGGAAGGCGGAGGTTGCAGTGAGCCGAGGTCACCCCACTGCACTCCAGCCTGGGTGACAGAGTAAGACTCTGCCTCAGAAAAGAACAAAAAAGAAAAACGGGGAGTGGGTGTAGATAATGAGGGAGGCAGCGCTGACAGTGGCCAGGAGAGCCAGCTCCAGGAAGGTCATTGTGGATAGTTGCCTGGGGAAGCAGGTGTAGCCAATGTTTGGGGGCAGCGCAGACGGTGCTCAAGGGAGTCAACAGAGTGTGCGGTATCAGTGTAGACAGTGGCTAGAGGAGCCACAGTCACACCATTAATCCCAGTCACTCGGGAGGCGGAGGCAGGAGAACTGCTTGAACTCAAGAAGCAGAGGTTGTGGTGAGCCGAGATCGCACCGCTGCACTCCAGCCTGGGAACAGAATGAGATTCTGTCTCAAAAAAAAAAAAAAAAAAAAAAAAAAAAGAGGGCAGACAATCTTGGTGTCAGCACTGACTGTGGCCCAGTGAGCTGGTGTCGACAATAGGGGCAGTGTTGTTTATGGCCCAGGGGAGCTGGTGTAGACAGTGGGGGTGGGCCGTGCAGACAGGAGTCAGGGGAGACCGTGCAGATGACGGAAGCAATGCCGACAGTGCCTTGGGGAGTCAGTGTAGGCAGGGGTGGGGCGGCCCGGCAGGGGTTCTCGCCGCGGCAGACTTGGGCACACTCACAGTACACGGTGAGGTTCACAGCCAGCAGCTGAGGCTTCTCGAAGCTCTCGTGCTCTACTTTGCAGGCCACATTCTTGCCATTCACCTGGCTTGAGGGCACCGAAATCCAGAGGCTGGTAACGGTGACTGTGCCAGACAGCAGCCCTGGCTCCTGGCTCATATTGGCCGTCCCGCCCAGGTCTGAGTGCCAGGTGATTCGGGCGGGCGGGCGACCCCCTGTGGAGATGCATCGGGCCATGGGCACAGGCTCTCTGGTGAGCTGGACCTTCTGAGCCTCAGCTGTGTTCTGGGGCTTGGCTAGGAAGAGGAACAAAAGCATCAGGTCATCCAATGAACCCCTCTGTGGTACAAGAGGGGGATTCATTAAGGGTACAGGATGGTATGGTGGCTGGGTATGGTGGCTCACACCTGTAATCCCAGCACTTTGGGAGGTTGACGTGGGTGGATCACTTGAGGTCAAGAGTTCGAGACCAGCCTGGCCAACATGGTGAAACTCTGTCTCTACTAAAAATACAAAAATTAGCCAGAGTATGGTGGCACATGCCAGTAATCCCAGTTACTTGGGAGGCTGAGGCTGAATAATTGCCTGAACTCAGGAGACGGAGGTTGCAGTGAGCCAGGATTGCGCCACTGCACTCCAGCTGGGCAACAGAGCGAGATTCTGTCTCAAAAAAAAAAAAAAACAACCAAAAGTGTACAGGATGGCATGGTTCAAACCCCAGCTCTGTCCCTGAGCAGCTGGGTGGCCTTGGGCAAGTCTGTGCCTCAGTTTCCTTGTCTGTCAACAGGAGACAATGATGGGATCACAGGCATGAGAATATTCTGGTAAAGCTCTAAGAATGGTACTTGGCACATAATAAGTGCTCAATAAATGTTATTTGGTGGAAAGTGCTGGGGCCCAGCAGTGACCAAAATAGCCCTGGTTCTGCCCTCATGGGTACTCAGTCCAAGGGGCAGAAATACTCTTTTTCCAGGCAGTGATGACTTGGAGAAGGCAGGGCTGGGACGGGGAAACCCAGAGGGGGTTATCCTAGTCTGGGGCTCAGTGGAAGAGAGGAAGCCTGAGCTCTGAAGTTGAGAAGGGAAGTGACTTGCCCACGGTCACATAGCTATAAGCAGTAGAGCTAGACTTTCACATAAAGTCTGCTTGACTCCAAAACCATCTTGACCATCTCTTAATCATCATCCTGGTGAGTCCCAAACCTGGGACTTCCTTCCCCATCATTACCTGTAGTATTATTTACCCAAGGTTCCTCCTTAACTTGACTCACTGTTTCTGTTTTACCTCATCCTATAAACCATGATACCCAGAATCCCGGGCTTGTTGGAGTGACAAGAGTTGGCTTTGATTGGATGCTGTGTGCCAGAAATTTCATGAATTACTCATGCACAAGCCTGGAACAGTTCCTGGCACATAAACTTAAAAACCAAACATCAACAATGAAAAAGGCGGGCATGGGGGCACATTAATATAATTCCAGCTACAGGGAGGGCAAGAGCATTCCTAGAGCCCAGGAGTTCCGGGCTGCAGTGATCTATGATCACGCCACTGCACTCCAGCCTGGGCGACAGAGCGAGACTCTGTCTCAAAGAAAAAAAAAAGGATCAGTTATTTTGAATCCTTATGGTGATGGCCATCGTACAGATGAGGAAACTGAGGCACAGAGACTTCTTGCTCAAGTTCCAGGAGGAGGGCCTCATGGAGTTCATGAAAATGAAAGCATGACCCCCTCCTCTTTTGGGTATGAGGATCTTTGCGGTTCTGTCTGTTTCAACTTTCTCCTTCTTCACCAAATAAAGCAACTGACGGCTCTAAGGAGCTCACATGGGCCATGAAGCACCTGTGCTCTAAGCCTTCACCTGGACACTCATGACAGCTTTCCAAGGGTGATGCTGTTGTCACCAATCCTTTTGCAGATGAGGAAAGGAGGGACCCAGAAGCCGCCACCCAGGCTTCCTCCCTTCCCAGTGCCCTCCCGGCCCCCTTTCCAATATACTCCTTCCCCTCTCTCAAGGTGTTCTGATTCCAGGCTTGGAGGTCCTTATCCCGGGGATCTCTCCTCTCTTCCTGCCCTTTAGCCCCTCCGCCACTAGCCTCCCCCATCCACCCCTCATCCTTGCCCTGCCCCTTCCTTTAGTCCCAGGGAATCTGCTGTGGAGGGAATCTCCCTCCCTCCCAGGCCTTCCCGCTCTTTACCTACCTCCCTGATCCTCCCACCAAATCTCCGCCTTTCATTCAGCCCCTGCCCCCAACACGCCCCCCTCACCGAACACTCGGAGCCAGGTAACCGCGCTCCTGCTGCCCTGCGGGAACATGACGAACAGGCAGGTGTAGTTGCCTTCATCCTCGGCGCGCAGCTCGAACACCCTCAGCGAGGCATCCCGCAGCTCCGCCCCTAGCCTGGCGGCCACGAATTCCAGCCGTTCGGACTCCGGGTAGTTGGAGCCCTGAGTATGGTGGAAGACGGCCACGCTGCGGGAGTCACCGAGCCGCGTCCAAGTCAGCTGCGACACGTGCGTCACCTCCGTGCTGGGCAGCTGCAGGTGGCAGGGCAGCGTCACGGAGTCGCCCAAGAAGCCGTGCACCTGGGTGGGCGCCTTCAGGACGATGTCTTCTGCGGAGAACCAAAGAGAAGGTGTCAGATCTGGGGCGTTCCGGGGCCAGATAGGGAGGGGCTCCGGGAGGCCTGGCACCCGGGTGTGCACTGGCACGCTGGGACCCTGGAGTCCTGATGGGCGGTCGGAGGTGGGGAGAGGGGGGACTGGCGCACGACTTGGGGTCATGGCAGGTGAGGAGGGTAAGGGCATCTGGGATGGTTGTGCCCTTTCACTTTTTGGCTATTTATTATCATATTTCCTCTATTATTACCGTATTTCCGTCAATCTTGACATCATCGGTTTTAAGAATTGTGGTAAATATTGTGGTTTAAAAAATTAAATTTACCGCTGGTGCAGTGGCTCACATCTGTAATCCCAGCACTTTGGGAGGCTGAGGTGGGCGGCTCATCAGCTCAGGAGTTCTAGACTAGCCTGGCCAACATGGTGAAACCCAATCTCTACTAAAGACACAAAAAATTAGCCAGGCATGGTGGCCAGAGCCTGGAATCTCAGCTCCTTGGGAGGCTGAGGCAGGAGTATCTCTTGAACCCGGGAGCCAGAGGTTGCAGTCAGCCTAGATCTCACCATTGCACTCCAGCCTGGGCGACAGGGCGAGACTCCATATTAAAAACAAACCACACACACACACACACAGAATTTACCATTTAAGCCATTTAAAGCACACAATTCAGTGGCACTATGTACAGTTCACGATGTTGTGCAACCATTACCACTGCATGGCTCCAAAACTTTGTCTTTCCTTTTCCTTTCTTTCTTTCTTTTTTTTTGAGGCCGAGTCTCACTCTGATGCCAGGCTGCTGGAGTACAGTGGTGAGATCTTGGCTCACTGCAACCTCTGATGCCTGGGTTCAAGCGATTCTCCTGCCTCAGCCTCCCGAGCAGCTGGGACTACAGGGGCATGCCACCAGGCATGGCTAATTTTTTGTATTTTTAGTATAGATGGGGTTTTACCATATAGGCCAGGAAAATCTCGTCATCTTGATCTCTTGACCTCGTGATCCGCGCCCACCTCTGCCTCCCAAAAGTGCTGGGATTATAGGTGTGACCCACCGCACCCAGCCCAGAACTTTTTCATCACACCAGTGTTGTAGGTTTCACATACTATGACTGCTGTAATTTACAGCACAACTTGCTGTTCCCAACGTAGAAAACAGGGAGAACTCTTGGGTCTTCACATCTGTGAAACACTGTATTACTCTGCGTGGGTCCTGGCTGGAAGAATGTAGGGGATCGTGGCACAAAAGGAAGGCAATTATAGCCCAGGAGTTTTGGGTTCCTTCAGATCTCTGCTGTGAGGTCTCAGGCAGGTTACTTAACCTCTCTGATTCTTTTTCCTAGTTAGTAAAATGAGACTTAGAACAGTGGACATTCACAGGGTGCTGACACAGCTCAGCGGCTCTTCTGGGCACTTTACATACCTCTTGGCATTTAGTCCCTGAGGCAAACAGTACTGTTAGCATCATTTTACAGGTAGGGAAACTGACACACAGAGTGCAGTGTTAGCCAAGTCATACGGACGTCTAGTGGCAGAGGTGGGATTTGAACCTGGGTGGTCTGTAGTCAGTGTCTGACCTCTGATCCCCCAGATCCTATATGAAAATTTTTCTGCTAAGGGCCTTAGCACATAGTAGGTCCTAATATGTGTCAGCTCTTATTGAGACTAATAAACATAGTACTATTCATTCTTTTTTATTTTAAAATGTTTATTTAATTATTTTTGTAGAGATGGGGTCTTGCTATGTTGCCCAGACTGGTTTTGAATTCCTGAGCTCAAGTGATCCTCCCATCTCAGCCTCCCAAAGTGCTGCGATTGCAGGCATGAGCCACTGTGCCTGGCTGCAATCAGCCTGGGGAGAATAGCAAAACTCCATCTCTAACAAAAACACAAAGAAATTAGCCAAGTGTGGTGGTGAGCACCTATTATTCCAGCTACTCCAGAAGCCAAGGTGAGAGGATCGCTTGAGCCTGGGAAGTTGAGGTTGCAGTAAGCAGGGATTGTGTCACTGCACTCCAGCCTGGGCGACAGAGCAAGACCCTGTTTCTCTCTCTCTCTCTCTCTCTCTCTCTCTCTCTCACACACACACACACACACACTATATATTATACAAAATATATATTTATGTACTCATTAAATATTAAAATTATATAAATATGTTATAAATATATTATATATTTAAAATAGTTAATAAATCTATATTTGCTATATATATTTATTAATATATAATATGTAACATAATTATATATAATTATAATACATAATATATATACTTATATCAGGAGTTTGAGACCAGCCTGGCCAACATGATGAATCCCTGTCTCTACTAAATATACCAAAAAATGGCTGGGTGTGGTGGCTCATGCCCGTAATCCCAACACTTTGGGAGGCCAAGGTGGGGCAATCATGAGGTCAGGAGTTTGAGACCAGCCTGGCCAACATGGCGAAACCCTGTCTCTACTAAAAATACAAAAAATTAGCTGGGCTTAGTGGCAGGTGCTTGTAATCCCAGCTACTCGGGAGGCTGAGACAGGAGAATCACTTGAACCCAGGAGGTGGAGGTTCCAGTGAGCAGAGATAGTGCCACTGCACTCCAGCTGGACGACAGAGTGAAAAATAAAGATTAAAAAAATTAGCCAGGTGTGGTAGCACATGCTACTCCGGAGGCTGAGGCAGGAGAATATCGCTTGAATCCGGGAGGTGGCGGTTGCAGTGAGCAGAGATAGTGCCACTGCACTCCAGCTTGGCGACAGAGTGAAAAAAAAAAAAGTAAGAAAAAAAAATTAGCCAGGTGTGGTAGCACATGCTACTCTGGAGGCTGAGGCAGGAGACTATCGCTTGAACCCGGGAGGTGGAGGTTGCAGTGAGCAGAGATAGTGCCACTGCACTCCAGTTGGGCGACAGAGTGAAAAAAAAAGGTAAGAAAAAAAATTAGCCAGGTGTGGTAGCACATGCTACTCCGGAGGCTGAGGCAGGAGAATCGCTTGAACACAGGAGGCGGAGGCTGAAGTGAGTGGGGATCAGGACACTGCACTCCAGCCTGGGAGATGGAGTGAGACTCTGTCTCAAAAAAAAAAAAAAAAAAAAAAAAAAAAGAATGAATGAATGGACAGCCAGACATTGGGGTCAGAAGGGGAATGCTGTCAAGCGTCGCCCACTGTTCTCCTCCCCAACATCAACCATCGTCCGCCCAGACCCAGCAGACTCAGCAGCATACCCAACGCGGGTGTGGCCTGAGTGTGGTGAGCCGGGGCCTGAGTGAGGTAATTCGGCTTGAATCACCGTCTGCTGATTTTCCCTGATTCATTTGCCATTTTGGGAAAATTTCTGTGCCCAACTCCATCCCGTTTCCGGGGGTGGGGGGCCCAGCCGGTGTTCTTGCCAATTTCGAGGACTTTCTGTACCCAACTAACTCCCACCGCCATCCGGGTGGCTAAGAGGAGGGTCCTGCCTTCGCCCTGTGTTCCTGCCGATTTCGAGGAAGTTCGAAACCCAACTCAGATCGCTATCCGGGTGGCCAAGAGGCGGGTCCTGCCCTCTCCCCGTGTTCCTTCCAACCCCGGGGCAGAGATGGGGGTTGGGTGACGCCGTCACTTTCGGGGACTCGGGGGGCCGAGTGCCCGGTCGGGCTGCGGAGCTGGGAGAGAGGACGGGGCCGCCGGACTGCGCGGGGGTCACTCACCGGTTCCCGGGCATGACCGGGACAGCACCAGCAGAGCCAGCAGCAGCAGCGGCCACGCGGCGGCCATGGCTCCGGCCGTGCCAGCTACTCCGGGCAGCTGGGCCCCAGCGGGGTCGCCGCCTCCAAGCTCCCCGGCGCGCTCGCTCTGCCGCAGCTGCTGCGAGTCCAGATCCCGGAGCTCGGTCCTGGAATCCCCGCGAGGCGGCTCCCCCAGTGCCCGGGAAGGGGAATACCCACTTCTTTAAGCTCCAGACGAGTGACTGACGAGGAGGGGAGTTGACAGCCGGGCGCCCCCGGGCGCGGGGGCCCCAGTCTGCGCATGTCAGGCCGGAGAAGCCGCTCCCTGGTTCCCTAGGTGCGCACGAGAGGAGGCGGCTTGTCGTGCGTGGAAGGACGCCAACTTTCCAGAGGCGCGCGGAGAGATTCAGCTACCGAGACTAGGGGTTGCCGCGTGGCAGAGCTGAGGTTCCAACTCGTGATGGGACAGATCCTCAGCCCACCAGGCTGTGCTTCCAAGCAGCCCAAACCCGTGGGCTTTGGGGTCCTGGGCTCATGTTGGGAAAATGGCTTCTCCTCGAGGGTCCTCTAATTCTTTACCTGAAAATTGGCATAGTAGGGCGCAGTGGCTCAGGCCTGAAACTTCAGCACTTTGGGAGGCTGAGGCGGGAGGACTGTGGGCGCTCAGGAGTTAGAGGCTGCAGTGAACCACCAGAGCGCCACCGCTCTACAGCTTGGGTGAAAAAACCGGACTTCGTTTCAAAAAAAAGAAAAAGAGTTGTGTGTTGGGGGCGCAGGCTCAGTGGCTGATGCTTGTAAGCCCAGCACTTTGGGAGGGCAAGGCGGGTGGATCACCTTAGGTCAGGAGTTCAAGCCCAGCCTGGTCAACATGGCGAAACCCCGTCTTTACTACAAATACAAATGGTGGCACATGCCTGTAGTCCCAGCTACTAGGGAGGCTGAGTCAGGAAAATCACTTGAACCTGGGAGGTGGGGTTGCAGTGAACCGAGATCGGGCCTCTGCACTCCAGCCTGGGCGACAGAGTGAGACTCCATCTCGAAAAGAGAAAAGAAAAAGCATACTAACAGTACTTACCTCACATCGTGGTTTGTAAAAAGCTTAAACAAGAAACTGCATAGCTCAATTTCAGGTCTGAACTAAATAAAAAGCAGATACAGCAACAATAGCAGCAGTAGCAGTGGTGATTATTATTGTTGCTGTTTTACAGGTGCCATCAAAAAATAATGTTCATGAGAATAGTGATTCATTGACTCTCATTCAACGTCTATGTATTAAGCCAGCCAGTAACCCAGGTGCTGGGGATACAGCAGAAAATAAGACAGACAAAAATCTCTGCCTTTAATGAAGACTGTGTTCTAGTGGAAGGAAACAGACCATAAACAGATAAACACAGAGAACTCCATGTCTGGGGGACATAAGTGTTATGGACCAACCTGCAGTAGGGAGAGGGGAGGAGGGAGGGACAGAGAGAGAAAGAAATGGGAGAGAAACAGAGAGACACACTCAGAGATAGGGACTGGGAGACACAGACAGAGAGAGATTGAAAGAGAGACACAGCATAGACAGAGTGAGATGAGAGAGAATTGAGAGGTGACAGAGAGATTCGGAGAGCCATACCCTCAGAGACAGAGCCTGAGAGACTTCCTGGTCCCCAGAGGTGTCTGTCCCAGCCAGGGTCTCCATGAGGCCAACTAACAGCAGCTCTGGTCCCTCTTCTCTAACATCCTTATATCCTTTTTATTTAAAAAAAAATTTTTAGACAGGGTCTCACTATTTTACTGAGGCTGGAGTACAGTGGCACCATCATTGCTCACTGCAGCCTCTACCTCCTGGGGTCAACTACTCCTGCCTCCACCTCCCCGGTAGTTGAGACCACAGGTGTATGTGATAACTCCTAGCTAGTTTTAAAATTTATTGTAGAGACGGCGTCTCATTATGTTGCTCAGGCTGGTCTTGAATACCTGGCCCCAAGCGATCCTCCCACCTTGGCCTCCCAAAGTGCTGGAATTACGGGTGTGAGCCACTGTACCCGGCCCCACATTCCCGTAGCTTTCTATAAAGTCCCTCCTTTGGGTTTTGGCTGGCTCGGAGGTTTCTGTCCCCAAGTGCCCTCTTTGACTTGGATCTGATGCTTGCTCAGGACACATCTGATGGTTGGGGTCTCTCACCCTGGACGAATGTAGGTGAATTTCTAAATGGAAACATGGAGGCTGGTCTCTTGGAAATCTCTGAATTTTCTGTCACTCTTGTTCTGCTATTTCCAAATGGGGAATCTGTAGCCGTCATGTTCCTCCTCTGGACGATGCCGTCACCATCTGGGCTTCCCCCGCCTCTCAGGGCTTCCCAGCTCCTGTGGCTCCAGGGTATCCTCTCATATCCCAGAGGGTCAGAGGCTGCCCTCAAGAAGCAGGCTTACAAAAAAAAGCAAGTTCGGTTTGGGGCATATCTGCTTGCTTCTGTGTTTCTCTGTCAAGAGTCTAAATTCCTTGAGTATTTGGACCAGTTGTAAACATTTTCTTCACTCAAGGGCTGAAATATCCTCTGAATAAATAGTGAATGGACATCTCCAGTGGGTATCCTCTTTTTTTGTATTTGTTTGTTTTGAGATGAAGTCTCACTCTGTTGCCCAGCCTGGAGTGCAATGGCACGATCTCGGCTCACTGCAACCTCCACCTCCCAGGCTCAGCCTCCCAAGCAGCTGGGATTAGAGGCCTGTGCCACCATACCCAGCTAATTTTTTTATGTTTTTAGTAGAAATGGGGTTTCACCATGTTGGTCTGGCTGGTCTCGAACTCCTGAGCTCAGGTGATCCACCCTCCTCAGCCTCCTAAAGTGCTGAGATTACAGGCGTGAGCCACCGCGCCCAGTGGGTATCCTTTTCATGCTGTGGTTTTCAAACTTCTGCATCCAAGAGGATCGCCAAGAAGCTTGTAAAAATATGAATCCATTTCCTTATTCTTCCCTCTCCCATTAAAAAAATAAAACGGTAGCACTGTTCCGTCTCTTTCACAAACCACCTCACATCGTGGTTTGTAAAAAGCTTAAACAAGAAACTGCTTAGCTCAATTTCAGGTCTGAACTAAATGGCTTAAACTGAACTAAACTTAGCAACATATCTTGGTGATTTTCCCATAGGCAGACCTATGGGAGCTACTTCATTCATTCATTCATTCACAGATGTGTAGTAGGACATTGTGTGACTGCAGAGTCATTTTTGAAACTGTCCTCAGGGGATGGGCCTTTTTGGGTGTTTCCAGCTCTTTTGTATTTGCAGTCTGTGCTTCCCTAGGTCATTATGTCCATGGCATTTCCCATGCATGTGACAGCGTCTGTCATATTTATTCCCAGAAACAGATTTGCTGGGTCAAAGGGCATGCATTCCTGGTTTAGTTGATATTGCCAAATTATTGTCCAGCCCACAGCCCAGCAAAGTAAGGGCATGGAGTGGCTTCTACCCAGGAATGCTCATGGCAGTGACTGAAAGTTTAAAAATTTCAGATGTGCAGCTGGGCATTGCGGTTCATGCCTGTAATCCAGCACTTTGGGAGGCTGAGGTGGGAAGATTGCTGGAGGCCAGGTGTTTGAGACCAGCCTGGGCAACATAGTGAGACACCCCCCCTCCCCACCATCTCTACAAAAAATTAAAAAATGAGCCGGGTGGGTGGCACATGCCTGTAGTCCCAGCTACTTGGGAGGTTGAGGTTGGAGGATCCCTCAAGCCCCGGAGTTTGAGGCTGCAGTGAGTGATGATTGCGTCACTGCACTCCAGCCTGGGTGATAGAGTGAGACTCTGTCCACCCCAAAAAGGGAAATGTCAGATGTGAAGCTTTGTCCAGAAGGGTGTGATGTACGAGGCCTGGGAGCAGGGAAGAAAGGGAGAAAGACTGAGAGCAAGAAGGAGAGGCTGGAGACGAGGGCTCCAGAGACTCCCTTGGTTCAAATTCTGCTTCCACCCATTGGTAGCTGGGAATCTTAAGCAACCAGCATTGCTTCTCTTACCTCTTTTTTCTCATCCACAAAATAGGGGCTTTTAAAACCATGTGGTGATAATTAAGTAAGTTATTCAGAAACAAATTGTATGTGGCTGGGCATGGTGGCTCACGCCTGCAATCCCAGCACTTTGGGAGGCAGAGGTGGGTGGTTCATTTGAGGTCAGGAGTTCAAGACCAGCCTGGCCAACATGGTGAAACCCTGTCTTTACTAAAAACACAATAATTAGCTGGGCAGTAGTGGCATGAACCTGTAATCCCAGCTACTTGGGAGGCTGAATCACTTGAGCTGAGGAGGCGGAGATTGCAGTTAGCCAAGATCACACCACTGCATTCCAGTCTGGGTGACAGAGTGAGATTCTGTCAAAAAAAAAAAAAAACAAAACTTATGTGGTTTAAAAAGTTATTTATTTAACTGCTGAACAAATGGCAGCAATTATTATTCACGTCTCCTGGGACTTACGATTCTTCATCTGAAAAGGGCAGGCATGGTACAGCACAGTGGCTCAGACCTGAAATGTCAGCAGTTTGGGAGGCTGAGGCAAGAGGACTGTTTGAGTCCAGGAGTTAGAGGCTGCAGTGAGCCACTAACTTATTTCTGATCAGGGGTGCCTTATTACCTTGCTGGGCACTCCTGATTAGAAATAGGCACTCCTGATTAGGAACTACTGCCACAGGCAGTAGGGAGTTATAGAGAGTTTTACGCAGGGCAGAGGCCACATCAGAGCTAAATCTCATGTTCCTCACACAGAAAATGGTAGTGATGGCCGGGCGTGGTGGCTCACACCTGTAATCCCAGCACTTCCGGGAGGCCAAGACGGGCGGATCACAAGGTCAAGAGAATGAGACCATCCTGGCCAACATGGTGAAACTCCATCTCTACTAAAAATATAAAAATTAGCCTGATGTGGTGGTGTCTGCGTACAGGGCACCTGTAGTAGTCCCAGCTACTCGAGAGGCTGAGGCAGGAGAATCACTTGAACCTGGGAGGCGGAGGATGAGGTGCTGAGATCATGCCACAGCACTGCAGCCTGGGCAACACAGCGAGACTCTGTCTCAAAAAACAAAACAAAACAAAATAAAACAACAAGAAAATGGTAGTGAGTTTGTCATTCTCTAGGAACGAGTCTGTGTCACCTACCAGGCCGTAAGTTTCACAGCAGCTGGTCCAAGGCTGCATAACTCATGTCCTGCCCTCTTTATGGCGTCACTGTGGTGAGAGATAGAGAACGGGGTTGGTGGTTTTGGCAGGGCAAGGCTTTCATCTTCTGTACTCTGAGGATACGCATGAAAGAGCTGGAAAAAGAAAACCCTGGAAACAGAAGCTTGCCAGTCCTTCCCCAATAGCCCGCGGCCATGGAGAAGCATTTCCCTACCATCCCCGCACCGTGCCCACATCTACCTGGGGTGTAGTGGTGCCTCACCATGGTTGTTTGCCTTCTTTCTCTCCCTCCAGATCTCTGGCTCTTTCTTTCTTTTTCTTTTCTTTCTTTCTTTTTTTTTTTTTTTTGTGAGAAAGAGTCTTGCTCTCCAGGCTGGAGTACAGTGGCCAATCTCATCTCACTGCAACCTCCGCCTCCTGGGTTCAAGCGATTCTCCTGCCTCAGCCTCCTGAGCAGCTGGGATTACAGGCACGCGCCACCATGCCCAGCTAATTTTTGTATTTTTGGTAGAGATGGGGTTTCACCATATTGGCCAGGCTGGTCTCAAACTCCTGACCTTGTGATCCACCTACATCCGCCTCCTAAAGTGCTGGGATTACAGGTGTGAGCCACCGATCTCTGGCTCTTTCAAGGCCCATGGAAGGAAATGAAACCTGCCCTCACAGTCTGCTGCTACCACAGATGACTACGTGGAGTGACACCCTGTTGCAGGTATTGTTGTCAGGACAATGTTCATGTTCTTGAGGCTGGATGACTAAATCCTGAGGCCTCTGGCTTTTGAGGACAGCTCTGACATCGCTTCCCCTTTCCTTTCCCCATCAGCCAGTGGGGAACCCTGGCAGCCACTCTAAACAAACCATGTGTTCTCACCTTCAGGCATTAGAACTTGCTGGGCCCTCTGGCCAGAACATTCCCGCCCCCACCCTGCCCCACCATTCTTCATCTGATTAATTGTTACCATATTTCAGATCACAGTTGAGCCACCCCTTCCTCCAGGAAGCCCTGCTGGACTCCTGGGCTGGGCAATGCCTCCTCTGGTCTCCCCAGCCCTCTAAGCTTCTGTGTCCCAGTCCTGCCCACTCTGAGTCAGCCATTCTCTAGGGACGGTGGGGGGTGGGGGGTCTGTGTCACTTACCAGGCTGTGAGTTTCTTTTTTCTTTTTTGTTGAGACAGAGTCCTGCTCTGTTGCCAGGCTGAAGTGCAGTGGGCGATCTCGGCTCACTGCAATCTCCACTCACTGCAATCTCCACCTTCCGGGTTCAAGTGATTCTCCTGCCTCCGGGCTGTGAGTTTCATCGCAGCAGGGTCAAGGCTGCGTAACTCATACTAGGAAGTGACTATTCAATTTCCCCATCTGTAAAATGGAGCTAATAATAGCACCTGCTTTCTAGGGTTCAGAGACATAAATGAGGATGATGCATTAAAGCTCTTTGGTGCAATGCCTGGTAAATATCACTCTGGAGACCTGGCTGCTCTTTTAAAAAATTAAAAAAAAATTTTTTTTGGGACAGAGTCTTGCTGTGTCGCCTAGGCTGAAGTGTAGTGGCATGATCTTGGTTCACTGCAACCTCTGCCACCCAGGTTCAAGTGATTCTCATGTCTCAGTCTCCCACGTATAGGCACTTACCACCACGCCTGGCTAATTTTTTGTGTTTTTAGTAGAGACGAGGTTTCACCATGTTGGCCAGGCTAGTCTTGAACTCCTGACCTCAGGTGATCCACCTACCTCAGCCTCCCGAAGTGCTGGGATTACAGGCGTAAGCTACCTCACCTCGCCAAAATTTCTCAATAACCCATCCCTTAATTAGCTTGCCATTACAGTGGGTTTAAATATGACTGCAAAAACTGCCCCTGAGCTGCTTACAGGGTATCTCTGCTCTGCGGGAACAGTCACAGAGCTGTAACACAGCCACCTCAATACAGCTGTTTTCTTTTTTTGTTTTTTGTAGAGATAGGGTCTCACTATGTTGCCCAGGCTGGTCATGAACTCATGGGCTCAAGCAATCCTCCCACCTCAGCCTCTCATAAGTGCTGAGATTACAGGTGTGAGCCACTGTGCCTGGCCAAAGCTGTTTTCTTCTGCTACTGGCTCGCTCTTGGATTCTTTCCCAAGCAAAGCCAAGATCCTGCCCTGCATCAGTACATCATGGCACATATGGCTGCCAGGGAGGCAGAGAATACCTGTGCCAGAGACATCATGGCACACATAGATGCCAGAGAGGCAGAGAGTACCTGTGCCAGAGACGTCCAAACCAGAGTGGCTCCAACTTAAATAAAGGCCAAGTAAGAAAAAACCTTCTGAGTTACATTCCCAGGAAGTTGAACACTCTTGGTCCCAAGATATTTATCACTGAGGGAACAAGTTAATGGTACTTACTCACTAAACAAGACCAAGAACTTAAAGAAATGTCTTAGTGTCCTGATACCTTAAGCACAAAACACACTGCTAGATTAAGAATAGGTTTTGCATGGGCTGTGTAATCCCAGCACTTTGGGAGGCCAAGGCGGGTGGATCGTGAGGTCAGGAGTTCAAGACCAGCCTGGCCAACATAGTGAAACCCTGTCTCAAACCAAAAAAAAAAAAAAAAAAAAAGTACAAAAAAATTAGCCAGGCATGGTGGCAGGTACTTGTAGTCCCAGCTTCTGGGGAGGCTAAGGCAGGAGAATCGCTTGAACCCAGCAGGTGGAGGTTGCAGTGAGCCGAGATCACACTACTGAACTCCAGCTTTGGCAACAGAGTGAGACTTCATATAAAAAAAAAAAAAGACTAGGTTTTGCTTGAAGGGTAATAGCATATCCATAAATTCTTGCTGAAATTAATAGTTACACAAAAGAATAACAATGCTAAAACCCTGTCTCAAGCCGATCACAAGCCTTTGTAATAAAGCATCTAAGAACATTATTTGGCCCGGCGTGGTGGCTCAGGCCTGTAATCCCAGCACTTTGGGAGGCCAAGGCAGGCAGATCGCTTGAGCCCAGGGATTTGAGACTAGCCTGGGCAATGTGGCAAAACCCTGTTTCTACAAAAAATACAAAAATTAGCCTGGCATGATGGCATGTGCCTACAGCTACTATCTCACCTACTCTGGAGGCGGAGGTGGGAGGACTGCTTGAGCCTGGGAGGTCAGGGCTGAGATTGCACCACTGCACTTCAGCCTGGGTGACAGAGCGAGACCGTCTCAAAAAACATCATTCTTGGCTCTGTTATCCTATATAAGGGAGCGTTGTATTTGAGGTGGGGGCATTCCTCCTCTTTCTTTCTGAGGACATCCTGCTCTGTAATAGAAAAGTCTCTAATAAGCTATTTTAACTTCACAGCATGCTGTGATTTGCCCTGATCTGCCCTGAACCCTCCTGGGGTCTGGGTTCAGATCAGTAACACCTGAAGACAGAAGAAAATTAATTTTTCTGCTTTGTGTTCTATCTAGATGCAAATATGTGATATCTACTTAGTTACAGATTAACCAGAACAGGTGCCAGCTGTGGGCTTCTCAATTTTATTTCCTTCTTTCCTTTTCTCTTTTTCCTTCTTTCTTTTCTTTCTCTCTCCTTCCTTCCTTTCCTTTCCTTTCTCTCTGTCTCTCTCTCTCTTTTTCTTGAGACAGACTCTTGCTCTATTGCCCAGGCTGGAGTGTAGTGGTGCAGTCTCGGCTCATTGCAACCTCCGCCTCCCAGGTTCAGGATATTCTCCTGCCTCAACCTCCTGAGTAGCTGGGATCACAGGCACCCACCATCACATCTGGCTAATTTTTGTATTTTTAGTAGAGAGAGTTTCGCCATGTTGGCCAGGCTGGTCTCGAACTCTTGACTTCAGGTGATCCACCCACCTCAGCCTCTCAAAGTGCTGGGATTAGGCATGAGCCACTGTGCCCAGCCCTCAATTTTCTTATGTCTCTTAATTTTTGTTTTGAGACAGAGTCTTGCTTTGTCTCTTAGGCAAAAGTGCAGTGGTGTGATCTCTGCTCACTGCAACCTCTGCCTCTTGGGTTCAAGCTATTCTCATGCCTCAGCCTCCCAAGTACCTGGTACTACAGGTGCCCACTACCACACCCTGCTAATTTTTGTATTTTTATTAGAGATGGAGTTTCACCATGCTGCCATGCTGGTCTTGAATTCCTGACCTCAAGTGATCCATCTGCTTTGGCCTTCCAAAATGCTGGGATTACAGGCGTGAGCCAGCACACCTGGCTAATGTCTCTTAATTTTTTTTTTTTTTTTTTTTTTTTGAGACAGTCTCGCTCCATCACCTAGGCTGTAGTGCAGTGGCCATGATCTTGGCTCACTGAAACCTCTGCCTCCTGGGTTCAAGTGATTCTCCTGCCTCAGCCTCCTGAGTAGCTGGGATTATAGACATGTGCCTCCACGTCCAGCTGATTTTTGTGTTTTTAGTAGAGATAGGGTTTCACTATTTGGGCCAGGCTGGTCTGAAACTCCTGACCTCAGGTGATACACCCGCCTCGGCCTCCCAAAGTAGAGGGATTACAGGTGTGATTAATGCATGCGCCCGGCTGGCTATGATGCATTAATCACTTAAGGTGAATAGTCAATGGCTGACACATGGAGAGCGCTCAACACACAAGATGTGGACTCAGGTCTGCTACCATTACTGCTAAGCATAATGCTGTTTAGGTGATTGTGTTGGTCACAGAAGCACCGAATGTTCCTCAGATGTAAGCTGTATCCCCAGAGGAGCTCCATCCACACTTGCGTGCTCTGTGCCTGCCATCTGTCGGGATCCTCTGCTGGAGGGGTGTTAAACGTGAGCAACGCCAAGCTCAAAGGTTGATCTTATTTGCAAACACGCCACGGATTTCTGGGAACCATCTCCCCACTTCTCAGGAAGAGAGGCTTCATGAGAAACCACTCAGACGTGGTGGTGTTTTTATTTATGTTTTGGTTCTTTTTGAAAAAGAGCAAAAAGAAAAAAAAGAGCAGCATGTGTAATAGACACATTTTGGGGTCTGGGCAATTTCCCAGGTAAAACCTCCCACCTGTTTTCTAAGCACTGAGCTTCCACAGTCAGGGATGAGCCCCTGGTGCTTTGCTCGCACAATGTGTCACAGCGATGGGACCATGGATGGCACCGGGTCAACCCATCAGATGCTTTCTTCAGGTGTTTCAGAAACAGGGCAAAGGGAGTCTGGTTAAGCTGGGTTGTTCCCTTAAACAGAGATGTTGTGGACTTGGAAGCTATGGGATGGAGGCTTTTTCCACGTGGATAGAGAAGTACAAAGTGCCCACCTGCAGAAAGAGAGAGAGAGGACTATGAATTCCACGTGCAGGGGGAAAAGACTGGTAAGGGCTTGGGGTGGGGGTGAAGTGTGTGGGCGGGGGAGGCTGGGAGAGAGAGCGGTGCACTTTCATATCTGTTAGTAGATTGCAAAACAGGCCACGGATTTTTCCCTTCCTAGTAAGAGGCGGAATCAACTTCCCCACCCCTTCAATCTGGCCAGCCATGTGACTTTCGCCAATGACGTCCCTTCTGTGGCAGAAGTGATGGCATGCCAATTTTGAGACTGAGACTTGAGGGGCCTTGTAGTTTCTGCTCCTCCTCTTGGAATCCTGTCTCTGCCATGTGAACAAGCTTGGGCCACCCTGCTGGAGGATGAGCGACAATGTGGAGGAGAGGCCAGTTGTCCCAGCTATGAGGCTATCCTAGTCCAGATAGCCCCTCGGCAATCTGCCAACTGAGCCCAGATGCAGGAGCGAGCCCTGCAGGGAACAGAAGAACTGCGCAGCTGAGGCCAGCCCAAATGGATGACCCATGAAACTCCAAGCTAAATAAATGGCTGTTGTTTCAAGCCACTAAGTTTTGGGGAGGCAGTCTGTTACATGGCAGATGCTGACTGTCACACCTATGGATTGCTGGAAAATTTCATAGATCCTCATATCAAACTGTTCATTTTGTTTTTTCCTGAGTTACTTTAGTGAGTTTCTTTTGCAGGCAGCCCAAGGGATTTATGAAATATAAACTGCTTGTTTAGGCGGCTTCCAGGCATGTGCTGAGCTGGGCAGATGGGGTGCTGGCAATTAGCAAAAGGAGAGAAAAGCACCTCCCTTTTCACAGGAGGGGAACATCTCACAGACAAATGGCCAGGGAACCAGCAGGGAGGAAGTCACATATGGAGCCTCTGCCCGGGAACCTCATTCTGTTCCCAAACCTAGGATTTCCTTCACACCCTTCCTGGTATTACCTCTTCAGAGGACGGGAGAGTTGCCCACGTTGCAGCAGGATCTTCTCCGTCTGCAGTGGAGAGAGAGAGAGAGAGAGAGAGAGAAACCATTATTAACTGAATTATTGTCCACTCCCCAAATTAACATGTAGTCCTAGCCCTCCAATGCAACCATATTTGGAGACAGGTTCTTCAGGCATAATAAAGTTAAATGAGGTCATAAGTGTGGGGCCTGGATCCACTAAGACTGGTGTCCTCATAAGAAGAGGAAGAGACACCAGGGATGAGTGCAGAGGAAAGGCCACGTGAGGACACAGCGAGGAGGTGGCCTTCTACAAGCCACGGAGAGGAGCACCCAGGGACATCAAACTGGCTTCCACCTTAATCTGGGACTTCCAGCCTCCAGAACTGTGAGAAAATACATTTCTGTTGTTTAAGCCCCTCCGTCTGTGGCATTTTGTGACAGCAGCTGGAGAAAACTAATACAATCATCTTCATCATATGGCTGAGGTTTACTGAAGGCTCACCACGTTCCAGACAGGGTTCACAGCCATGACTCCCACCATTTTACTTAATCCTCACTCCTATACTTGGAAGGAGGTATAATCATATTCCTGGAGTTTTTTTCTTTTTTTGGAGACAAAGTCTCACTTTGTCTCTTGGTTCACTGCAACCTCCGCCTCCCAGGTTCAAGCGATCCAATATCCTATATATAGAAATATAGATAGTATATTGGCCCATCCGGTATACTGTGTATATTTCACTTGTTCACTGTGTTTCCTGATGGTATCCGCGACCAGGATGCAAGTTCCATGAGGGCAGGGACTTTCTGCATTTTCTTCCCTTGGTATCCTCAGTGCCTGGTCACTCTGCAGATATGTGCAGACGGGACGAATATAGTACTTACCACATTCCAGGCACTGCTTTAAGTTTCTTAGAAATACTCGGTCACTGGCTGGGCGCAGTGGCTCACACCTGTAATCCCAGCACTTTGGGAGGCTGAGGCGGGCAGATCATGAGATCGGGAGTTCGAGAACAGCCTGACCAACATGGATAAACCCCATCTCTACTAAAAATACAAAAATTAGCCAGCGTAGTGGCATACACCTGTAATCCCAGCTACTCAGGAGGCTGAGGCAGGAGAATCGCTTGAACCCAGGAGGCAGAGGTTGCAGTGAGCCGAGATGGTGCCATTTCCAGCCTGGGTGACAGAGTGAGGCTGTCTCAAAGAAAAAAAAAAAACAAGAAGAAGAAGAAATATTCACTCACAACAACCCAGAGTCAGGTGCCATTATTATCCTCACCATTTTGCGGATGGGCAAACTGAGGCACAGAGAAGGGAAGTGGCTTGCCCACAGCCTCACTGATAGTAAGTTACGGAGCTGGGACTTGAACCCAGGCAGCCTAGCTCTAGCGTCCTCTTCTATCTCTTTGTTGTTGTTATCCCATTTTGGAAAACAATGAGTCAGACGGGCTCCTCAGGGGTCCCTGTCACCCTCCTTGATGGGGCTGTTGGTTTCATCTCCGTTTCCTTGTCGGGCCAGCTCAGTGCCTCACGGGGGCTGAGTGGATGTTGCCCAGTGCAGAGGGGTGAGGATGGAAGTACCTTAGGCTCCGGATGATGGTGAAACACAAGCCTCCAATCAGCACCCCAGCTCCCAAGGTTCCAGCCACGATGAGCGAAATGGCAGCGCCTCCGGACAGGGACAGAGTGGGGTCTGGCTCCACGGGCTCTGGTTCTGTGGGCTGCACGATGGCTTCAGTGGACCAAGGAGGAGTGAGATTGGAGGAGCCATCTGCCCACCCTCCCTGCGCTCCCATCCCTCCCGCCATTCCCCCTCCCAAGTGTCTCTTCAATCCATCCTTCTCTTCCATCCTCCAGCTCTCCAGCCCCCTCTCCTTCCCTGCTCTCCTGCCCCAGTCCAGTGCCCACCCACCTTCCTTCCACCTGGAAGCCAGGAAGATCTTTCTAAAGCTCACACCTGATCCTGTTCCTCCCCTGCTCAGAACCCTGCTGTGGCTCCCCAGCACCCTGGAGCAGAAGCCAGTTCCTCAAGTCAGCCTTCAGGGCCCTGCCACCTGGCCAGCCTCATATCTCTCACTGCCCTGCCTTTACACCCCTGCCACCTTGGACTCCACTCAATTTCCCAAGCTCATTCTTTTCTCTCTTGCCTCCAGGCCTGTCCATGCTGCACTCTCTCTCTGGAATGCATTTATGCCATTTCTCTCCCTTGGATTGCAGAATTCCTTTTTTTTTTTTTTTTTGGTTGAGGGGGAGACAAGCGTCTCGCTCTGTTGCCCAGGCTGGAGTAGAGTGGCACAATCTTGGCTAATTGCAACTTCCACCTCCTGGGTTCCAGTAATTCTTGTGTCTCAGCCACCCTGGTAGCTGGGATTACAGGTGTATGCCACCATGTCCAGCTAATTTTTGTATTTTTAATAAAGACAGGGTTTCAACATGTTGGCCAGGCTGGTCTCGAACTCCTAGCCTCAAGTGATCCATCCACTTCGACCTCCAAATGGCCTGCGCTAATTTTTTTGTGTTTTTAGTAGAGACGGGGTTTCTCCATGTTGGTCAGGCTGGTCTCGAACTCCTGATCTCAGGTGATCCGCCTGCCTTGGCCTCCCGAAGTGCTGAGATTACAGGCGTGAGCCACCACACCCTGCCTGTATTTCTTTCAACAATCCTGCAGAGGTATATAGGATTACCCCCGTTATACACACGAGGAAACGGGGCTCAGAGAGGGGAAGTCACTTGCCCTAAGTTACCCAGCCAGGAAGGCATGGGAACAGGGGCTGAACTAAGTTTTGACCGGGACCCAAACCACTTCTCTGATCCCAACAACCTGCTGTCAGTTTGACTGCCACTCAGGTCTCCATATACCTACTGCATATGGTAACAGTTACAATTAATAATGACAATGCTAATTGCAACAGTGATACTGGCTCACGGTTACTGAGCACCCACTAGTGTTCAGTAATGCTAGGCATTATTATTTCAAGGTATTCACCTGCTTATCTCATTGAATGTTCACAACTACACTCTGGGGTAGGCACTATTATCTTACCAATGTTATGGATGAGGAAACTGAGGCACAGAGAAGTCAAGACACTGGCTCAGAGTCACACAGCCAGGGATTCAAATTCCAAAGCCATTGCTTTGAACCACTCCTTAGATGATGATGATTTTTATTTTTATTTTTGGAGACAGAGTCTTCCCCTGTCACTCAGGCTGGAGTGCAGTGGTGCAATCACAGCTCACTGCAGCCTTAAACTCCTGGGCTCAACTGATCCTCCTATCACAGCCCCCCAGATAGCTGGGACTACAGATGGGGCCACCACGCCTAATTAAATCTTTAGTTTTTTTTGTAGAGACAGAGTCTCGCTATGTTGTCCAGGTTGGTCTCTAACTCCTGGGCTCGAGTGATCCTCCCACCTCAGCCTCCCCAAAGTGCTGGGGTTACAGGTGTGAGCCACTGTGCCTGGCCCACTTTTTAGACTATGATCTGTATTTTTTGCAGGTATGTGATGAGACTCAGAGAGACGAAGAGGCTTCCCATGTTCATGTAGCCGGCAAATGGTTGGAGCCAAGGACCCAGGTAGCCTGGTCCAGATCCTGAGCTGGGCTTTCACTGTAGTTAACCTCTTTGAGCCTGTCATCTGAAAATGGCCTAATTGGCTGGGCGTGGTGGCTCACTTCTGTAATCCCAGCAATTTGGGAGGCCAAGGTGGGCGGATCACTTAAGCCCAGGATTTCGAGACCAGCCTGGCCAACAGAGTGAAACCCTATCTCTCCTAAAAATACAAAACTAGGCCAGGAGGGGTGACACACGCCTGTAATCCCAGCTACTCAGGAGACTGAGGCATGAGAATCACTTAAACCTGGGAGGCAAGGGTTGCAGTGAGTTGAGATCGTGCCACTGCACTCCAGCCTGGGTGATGGAGCAGGACTCTGTCTCAAGAGGAAGAAGAAGGAGGAGGAGGAGGAGGAGAAGGAAAACGAGGAAGAGGAGGAGGAGGAGGAGGAGGAGGAAGAAAGTGGCCTAATAATCCATAGTCTACCAGGTGGATGAAACATTGGAATGACATTTGCCTATAAAGGGTCTCACAGGGGCTGCTCATAGAAGGTGGCTAAATGGAATCGGCAAGGCTGCCGCAGGCTGGAGAGGGTGAAGGGCTCTTGGGTGGGGTGGGGGACTCACTTGGCAGTGAGATGGTCACAGGCGCAGAGACCAGCTGTTCCTTGCTGTTTGTGGCTGTGCACATATAGGTGCCCAACTGCTCCATGGACAACCGCCGGATGAACAGCCTCTCTCCTATCCCGCAGGGCACCCCATTGAGGGTCCAGCTCACCACAGGCTCAGGGTTCATTATCACCATCCACTGCAGGATCACAGAATAGTTGAGCTCAGTCTGGATGATGCCCTGGAAAGCGTATGGGAATGTCTTCAGTTGCGCTGGTGGGAAGCTGTCTGTGCAAATAGGGAACAAGGCCACAAGAGTAGAGACCACTCAGAAAAGCTGGGTATGTCTTCTGCCCACCATAGAGACGTTCATTCTTTCATGTGTTCATTCGTTCATTCTTTCATGTGTTCGTTCATTCATTCGTCCAAGAATGTGTTTGAAGAGCCCAGTCTGTGCCCAGTGTCCCCAGTCTAACCCCTTCCCCTTCCCACTTCCAGTGGCCAGCACCTGCATCCTGTTGCCCGAGGGTCTTTACTGGTGGCCAAAGCCTCCTCTGCCCATGGAGGCAGCAGGCTGGAAGTGCTGGGGAAGGAGCACACCTGGAGCAGCCTTCCACAATGCTGGGCACAGGTTGGTGTATAAATACCTGAGATCCCTCGCTGCCACATGGGATAACTCTGCAGAGTCGTTCCACACCAGGGCCCGGACTTCCCCAGTGGGACTGTGCTCTAGCTGCCCACAGTAACCAGGCTGGGAACACAGCTCTTATTATTTCCTGCCTTCTCTGCCTAACTTCCTCATTCTCCAGTTCCTTGCACCTCCCAAACAGACTATCTGACCTTAAATCTCGGCTCTGGATCTGGGTGAACCAAATCTAGGACTCTGAGGCTCTAGGGCTCAGAGGCTCGGCAGTGATAAAACAGACACAGTCACTGCCCTCATGAAACTTATGACTGAGTGACGACAGAGTCAACAAACAGACCAATAAGTACATATGGTGGTGGTAACCGCTGTGAGGAAGACTGCAGAGGGCTGCGGGGTTGGACTCAGGGTGGGGTAAGCCCGTTTCAGGCAAAGCAGATCAAGGAAGGCCTCTTTGAGGAGCTAATGTTTGAGCAGAGACCTGAAGAAGCAGAGGAAGGAGCCATGTGGATTCCTAAGGAAAATACCCCACCTGGGTTCAAGAGATTCTCCTGCCTCTGCCTCCCTATAGCTGGGATTACAGGCATCCACCACCATGCCCGCCTGGCTAATTTTTGTATTTTTAGTAGAGATGGGGTTTCACCATGTTGGCCAGGCTGGTCTTGAACTCCTGACCTCAGGTGATCCACCTGCCTTGGCCTCCCAAAGTGCTGGGATTACAGGTGTGCGCCACTGCACCTGACCATGGATTGGGCCCTTGCTATGAGCCAAGCGCATGTGGGTAAAGGTGTTTGGGCCACAGGGGTGGAGCTCTCATGGCCTCGTGCTGTCCTCATGGTAGTGAATTCTCGCGAGATCTGATTGTTGTAAAATGTGGCAATTCCCCTCTGACTCTCTCTTGCTCCTGTTCTCACCACGAGAGACACCTGCTCCTCCTTTGCCTTCTGCTATGAGTAAAAGCTCCCTGGGGACTCCCCAGAAGCTGAGCAGATGCTGGCACCATGCTTCTACCTGTGAAACCATGAGCCAATTAAACCTCTTTTAAAAAAATAAAATAAATAACCCAGTCTTAGGTATGTCTTTATAGCAATGCAAGAACAACCTAACACAATGTCAATGACAAAAAAAAAACTACAACCCATTATAACTCCTCTCCTTAAGAGGTGGGAGCGATTTTCCTCCTGTTGAAGCTGGGCTGGCCATGTGACTTGCTTTGGTCAATAGAAAGTGGTGGAAGTGATGGCAGTCAGCTTCCAGCCTGGGCCTGCAGGAGTTTTGCAGCCTCGCCTCTTGTTCCTCTTTCACTGCTGAGTGAACAAGCCTGGGATAGCCAGCTGGAGGACGGGAGGCCCTGTGGCCCACTCACCCCATCACCCCAGCCACCAGCCAGGCCATCGTCAGGCACATGAAGGAGGCCATTCTGGACCAGCCAACACCCAGACACCCCAACAGCTGACCACAAGAACTATCCAGCTAGATAAGTGATTGATATTTTAAGTTTTGGGGTGGTTTGTTGGGGAGCGATTGATTACTAGCACAGAATGTGTCCTGGTGGGCTCTTCTGGGGTCCAGTGGGTCCGCTTTCTGAGAAGTCAGTCCCTCCCACGTTGGGGCCCCACTCACTCTTGACATGGATCTGCTCTGTCGCACTCCTGCGCCCCCTGCTGGTTTCCAGCACGACGGTGTAGCTGCCCGAGTCCTGAGCCGTCACGTTTTGAATGACCAGGCTACCTTGGCTGCCCAGCATCTCCCGGCCAGTGTGAGCAGGTCCTGGGAGGCCCTCCGGGGAGAATATCATGGCTGCTGGCTGGGCGTCATGCCCTCGGAACCAAGATGTGGTGAGAATGCCATCGAGGCTTCCGGGGACAGGAAGGTGGACACTGGCTCCTTCGGTCCAGGTGTTCAGCTGTGTCGAGACGGGCAGCTCCGAGAAGGCAGAGCAGGTGCAGGATGTGAGCAGGAAGCCTTGGAGAAGCAGGGAAGGAGGAGACAAGGGGGGCAAGTGAGAACAAAGGCGAAATGCTGTCCCTGCCAGTGACCGTTCCCAAGCCGCTGAGAGTGAGTGTGGGGCATCGAGAGCTGATGATGACGGCGACGATAATGATAAAAGTAGAGAACACTCACTAGCACCCACCACAAGCCTGACTCTGTTGCAAGTGCTGGTTGTGTATCACCCCACTGGTTCCTCTCCTTGACCCTACGAAGCACACAGTTGTATTCCACTGGATGTTGCAAAAAGTGGTTTTCTATCCTCTGCTCCACGCTGCTGCCTGAAAGGCTGACTTCTCTGAGCTGTGTTGCTGGGGTCCCCTTACCTTTTGCTGCTGGTTCGTTTCTGTCAGTGGTGCATTGGCAGAAGAGAGGGCAGCAGGGGAGTGAGCCTGAAGGAAGTAGTCCCACAGTTGGCTGGGTCCCTCTGTTCCAGCCCACAGCTCCTGCTGAGTGGCCCTCTCCGTACACTACTGATGTCTTCCGATTCTGAGATCTGCTTTTCTCCTTATGGCTTCCAGCCTGAGGGAGGTAATAGTTCCCTGCTGTTGCTAGGCCCTGGATGCTGCATTATCCCCCACCTAAACCTCTGCTGCAAACAGTCCCTGTCTCAAACTTAAACTCTCCTTACCACTCCCTTAGAGTAGACCAACTGTTTCTTGCCTCAACCCTGACTGATACGACTGTGGTACCCCATTTACAGATGAGGAAGCAGAGGCTAAGAGAATCTAAAATATTTTCCCAGGATGTCATAGGTGGTAAACAGCAGAACCATGATCCACATGCAGGCAGTCAAGGAAATTCTCAGCCACTAAACTTTCCTGCCCAATTCCTGCCTTAGTTTCTCTCACGTCCTCTCATTCAATATCCACATTGCTTAGAACTTGGAGTTGAACCCTGGGAGTTTGGTTCCAGATCCCACGCAGTTACCCAACCTGCTCTTCTTTCTCTCACAGGAATGGTGTGGTAGGAATATAAGCTCTAGCCATAAAAAACTAAAAAAAAAAAAATGATGTAAAATAAAAAAAACCCTGAAACATCTGAAAGGTTAAAGAAATCCCCATCACTCACAAAGTCAAAAGAACGACAACCAGGAGAAACTCATTCTAAGTGACATCATAGACAAAGAGCTCGTTTCACTAATATATAAAGAGCTCCTGGAAATTAATAAGAAAAATATCAGCAACCCAACAGAAAAATACACATAGCATATGAATAGGCAGTTCATAGAAAAGAAAACTATCTCTCAATGTAGGGAAAATGCTCAATTCTACTCACAGTAAGAGAAATGTAAATGAAAACAAACTGAGATAACCTTTTCAGCAAAGATCCAGAAGTTTGATGGTGACTTGTTGTGTTGGTGATGCTGAGGGCAACAGGAATGCCTATGCTTTGCTGGTACATGCCCTGCAGAGGGCAATCTGGTAATGTCTTTCAAAATTACAAATTCTCGTATCCTTTGACCCTCTAATTAAATGTCAGGGACGCGTTCTATAGATAGACTTTCACAGAACAAAATGACCAGTACATAGTGTTACCACACCCTATTTACAATAGCAAAAGATTGGAAATACCCAACTCTTCAACAATAGGGGACTGATGAAATAAATAATGGTTCATTTATTTCATAAATGTAATCACTTATTTTAAAGCTCTCTTAAAAAAGCAATATAATAGATGGTAACTTTTAAGGATCAGAAATATCCATTTACGGAATGCATGTTAAAACATCAGCTTTCTTCTCGGTTAAACGAATGAGATGTGGTGGCTGGAGATACCCACTCTCAGGAGCTCATCACCAGACACAAACACACTGGGCTCTGGAAGGGGCTGTGAGGTCTCAGAAGCAGCTTTGGGTGACTGGCTGACACCGCATGCTGGCTGAGGCTGAGTGCCAGGGACCCTGCCAAGCCCTTCCAACTTGGTATCCTGACCAGGATACCTCACTGAGCCTCTCAGCAACTCTGAAGTTGGTGCTGGTCTGTTTCACAGGGAAAGAAACTAAGGGAAAGCACGTTTAAGTCTTAGATTCAGAGTCATAGTGGAGAGCTGGGTGTTGTGGGGGTCACTCATTGCCCACCTCCCACCTCCAATGAGTTAATCTCCAAGTCAGCAGCTGGTGTGATCGACCTTCCTTCCCTCCCTCCTTCCTTCCCTCTCTCCCTCCTTCCCTCCCTTCTTTCTTTCTCCTTCCCTCCCTTCTTTCCTTCTCTCTCTCTCTCTCTCTCTCTCTCTCTCTCTCTCTTTCTCCCCCTCCCTCCCTTCCTTCCTCTCTCTGTATCTCTCTTTCTCTCTTTCTTGACGGACTCTTGCTCTGTTGCCAGGCTGGAGTACAGTGGCGTGATCTTGGCTCACTGCAGCCTCCACCTCCCAGGTTCCAGTGATTCTCCTGTCTCAGCCTCCCAAGTGGCTGGGACTACAGGCGTGTGCCAACACACTCAGCTAATTTCTGTTTTTTTCAGTAGAGACAGGGTTTCACCATGTTGGCCACGATGGGCTTGATCTCTTGACCTCATGGTCCGCCCGCCTCGGCCTCCCAAAGTGCTGGGATCACAGGCGGGAGCCACCGCACCGGCCTTGAAAAACAACTTTCTAAAAGCTGGTTGCTATTGAATCCAGTGGCACAGCCAATTCCCAAAGTGCCCCACCCTCTCTGCCCCCACCCCAGGAAGATCCAGCAGCATACTGCATGCCTTTTTTCCAACGTACGATGACAGCGGCCAAGGAGAGACTTTCCCACCTGCTTTTCTTTCCTTCTTCCCCGCTGCCCTCCGCCCTGAGAGAAGCCTCAGACAGCAGCTCCGACGAAATAGGGAACAGGCCCACCACGTCCCTTTCCTCCTTCCAGTGTGACACAGGCCTGAGCTGGGGACACAGCAAAGCTTTGAACTGGGTGGTGTTTGGGGTTTTAAAACTACACAGAACTGAACTTTTAAGACCTGGAACAGGAAGTCGTTCAGTCACTGTCTGAGAGGCAGGTGTGTGTGGTCTCTGGCAAGTGTTGTCTGGGAAGCCAGCCCACCTGCCTTCAAATCTTCATTCTGCCACTTCCATGTGTGCGACCCGGAGAGGGCACATGGCCTCTCTGAACCTCAGTTTCCCCTTCTGTGACACAGGGATCCTCCAGCCCTGATCTCAAAGGGCTGTGATAACAGTTAAATGTTACTACATGATCGCACTTAGAATGAGCTGACAGGCTGGGCGCAGTGGCTCATACCTGTAATCCTGACACTCAGAGAGGCTGAGGCAGGAGGATCGTTTGAGCCCAGGAGTTCAAGACTAGCCTGGGCAACATAGTAAGACCTCATCTTTACTACAGATAAAAAAAATATACAGCTGGGGTTTGGTGGCGCATACCTGTGGTCCCAGCTACACAGGACACTGAGGCAGGAGAATGGCTTGAGCCCAGCAGGAGGAAGCTGCAGTAAGCCATCGTCATGCCACTGTACTCTAGCCTGGACAACAGAGCAAGACCTTGTCACAAACAAACAAACAAACAACACAAGCGGGCTGGCATGCAGACCTGTTCAGTCACGGCGACCTTCTATTACGGCTGTTATTACTTTATTATTATTACTTATATTGATTATTACTAGGTTGTGGATTGCTGGGGTGAGACAGGACACCTGGTGGAAGGGGGCTGGGCTGGGGTCCCGAATTCTGATCCTACCCCTTGCCAGCCCTGAGATCTTAGGTAGGTGACCCGGTCCCTTCTTTGCGCCTCACTTCCCTTCTTCCTAAAAGAAGCCAATAGGATGATCCCTTGTGGCGGGGTGGCCATCAGGAGTTCCCATAAGTTGGGAGCCTGAGCTTCTTGGGCCTCAAGTTGCCCAGGGTCGAAGCTCTGAGTGGGGCGACTTGGATTTCGACGGAGACTCTCTCCTCCTTGTCCCTCCCTGTGGTGAAGCTGCTGTCTCCAACGCACCTGTTAAAAGCAGCTTCCTCCAGGCAGGGGTGTGGCCGGAGCTGACGTCCAGAGGACTCCTCATTTCGAATTCTGTCCAGGGACCGTGCAGAGAAGGTCTCTTCGTCACACATGGGGTCTTTATAGACCTGCGGCAGTCGCATCTGCAGCCTCGGCCCGCCCTGCAGCACCCCGGCCACAGTGACCACGCCCACCCTGGCCCGTCCCCATGTGACTTTTTGAGTTGGCTGGGAAATCACCTCCAGCTGCATCCTTCTCTAGCACTGGGTCAGTGGTGGTGGTGGGTGGGGACCAGACCGGGACAGGGATTCTGGGGAGGAGGCCCTGAAGTTTTGCTCTCATTCCTTCACCCTACAACCCCTGCTGGGAGATGGAGGGAGGAGCAGAATCGCCCGATCATTCACATCAAAGGCAAGGAATGGCCAAAGGTCAGCTGGTAGGAGGTGACGGGGCCTTCTGCTGGCCTCCTGGGTTCTCTCCTGGACTCTGAACCACAGCTTTTTTCCTCTGTAATGAGAAAATGTTTACTTCATGTGTACATTAAAAATTTCCAGAGAAGCCAAAAAGAAGTATTCACTCCCTGCCTTGTCATTTCTGGAAAGATTGTGGGGAGATACTTTATTGCATATTCATTAATAAATTGTTCTGCTAAGAAAATTTAAAACAAAATGAAGGTGTTAATAATAGTGCCTGCCCCAGAGTCAGAGGGGACCGTGGACACAAGGTGGTTGGCGTTGTGCCTAGTCACATAGTAGGTGCTTGATGAATGTCAGTCACTATGAAGTCAGTGCTAATTATAATTTGATATCTAAGATGTCCTGGAGGCGTGCTCAGAATCCCCGTATCAGGACCTTGCTCAGACTATATCCTGAATTTTAGATGCTAGAAGGATAAGCCACACTACACTAACTAGCTCCTTTTTCCTCACCCTTCTCACTCCCCAGGGCTGTTCTTTCCTCCTCAAATTAATAATTATATTGCTCGAACCAATCGCTGGTGTTTACTCAACACCTACTATATGCCGGGCACAGCATTAGCCCTGTAAGAGCATTGCCTAATTGAATCCTCATACTAACCTCGAGCAGTAGGTATGAGCATCCTCATTTTCCAGCGGTGCACAGGCGCTGAGTAACTCGCCTACCATCACACAGCCGTTCACAGGGGCTTTCTGCCAGTTTCTGGAGGGTGCCAGCTCAGGGCCTTTGCACACACTCTGCCCTTTTCTTAGAACCTTATTCATGCAATCTCAAAGCCGACTGTATCTCATTATTTTGGCTTAATTCACGCACAGCACCTCCTCAAAAAGGCCTTTCCTAATGCCTGCTGCAACTCAGGCCCCCAGCTCTTTGCTAGCAAGCCACAGTGTCGTTTTCTTCTTGACATCATTTACCGCTCTCTTAGGTGATTTCTTTGTCCACTTGTGTTATGTCTCTCCTCCTTAGTCTCACCTCTCCGACTTGAACGTCAGATCCAGGAGGGTAGGGGTGTTCATCTGGTGTGCGGCTGTGGCCCTGGTGACTAGAACAGTGCCTTGCACATAACAAGTTCTCAACACATTTTTTTTTTGAGATGGGGTCTCACTCTGTCAGCCAGGCTAGAGCACAGTGGCACAATCAGCTCTCTGCAGCCTCAACCTTCTGGATTCAAGCAATAATCCTGCCTCGATTTCCTGAGTAGCTAGGACTTGTCCTTCCATCTTGGAACCACTTTCAATCCATGTGCCCAACTTCAAGCAGACTCTGAGCAACCTCTGGAAATCCGTTCATTTCTCCTTGGTCAGTTCCTGGTTGCAATTTTCTCAGCAGCCTTTCCAGCCTTTACTGCCATATGCAAAGCCTAGGCCACTCTCATAATCATACCTGAGAACCAGCTCGGCTTTCTCTGGTTAAATTTCACTCACTGGGTCTCAACTACCACTCCCAGCTCATTTTAATATTCTTTTTGTAGAGACAGGGTCTCACTGTATTACCCAGGCTGGTCTCGAACTTCTGGGCTCAAGTGATCTTCCTGCCTCAGCCTCCCAGAGTGCTGGGATTACAGGCATGAGCCACCGCGCCAGCTGACATGTTTTCTTTTTAGTGAATAAATGGATGAAAGGCAAATGAGTGAAATGGAGTGTCCAGACTTGAACTCTCATCTGTCTGACTCAAAAGCTCATGCTTTTCCCTCCCAGAGAGGTTCAGGTTCCACCCAGGGGCTAAGGTTCACCTATGAGTTGTCAATAATAGTCATCATCAGGTGACACAGTTATTTCTTATTAGCATTTGCTAAAGTGCTTCTTTTACGGTTGGTCTGAAGGCCTCTGCTGGCGTGATGAGCTAGGCCAGGAGACGACTGATAGGCAATGCAGTAAATAGCCATTATGCTGTAAGGTTCTGGGGTTTCTGCCCAGCCAGCATTCACTCTCTTTTATCCAGGTAACTGTACCTGGAGTTTGTTGTGGACCGTCCGGGACGGGTAGGCACGTCTGCCTGGGGGTCTCTCGACCTGCAAGAGGGTCCCAATACCTGGAAGAGGGAGTGCGCCTGGAAAAATAATAAAGACAGAGAGAGAGAAAGCGAGGCGTCTGGAGGGCTGATAGGCTGTGCCTAAACAGCAAATTTTATTTTTCAAAGGCCAGGAATAAATACACTTTCTTGGCTTTGGTTTATGTCATAGTAAGAGGAATGCAAATGTATGCCTCACATGGCCTATACAATAGAGAAGTAGATATGCGATCAATGGTTGTAAAAAGTAACAAAATTTTCTACAATCACAAAGTTTGTTTGCATCCAAACATTATTCACAAAGCTTGTTTATATCCAAACATTATTCAGGAGACTTGTTTATAACCAAACATTGTTCCTCCTGGCTGCAGGTATCTCTGGTTTGACCTTGTTTTAGAACTGAGATGTGAAAAGGTTTTTTGGTTTTGCTCATCAGAATATCTTTTAATCGGATTCTCCTTTGTCTACTCCTGACTCAACTTAACTCAACTTCCCCATTCAGGAATCTCTGAGTCAGGAATCAAAGCCATCCCTTATGGTGGCATTTTTCTTTGCAAATATCGACAGTTAAACCATTATCTAGGGTACAAGGCAGTCTGGTAAGGTTTAAGGCTTATTCTTAAAGTCATAAAAAGGTCATAGCAGGAACCGGTTGCTGGTAGGGGGTTACTCGGTCTAGCAGCAATGCATAGTTTTAGGCCCAAACGATATTGTGGTTGATATTAGAAACTGATCATTCATCTTTCAGTTCCTATATTTCCGGATAGCTCGACTGCCTCCAGTAGGAAACTGTGTTTGGGATCAAACTCACCGTATAGTGAGACTCACGCCTTTTAGGGGTCTCACACGGGAGTGTTCCCCACAGGAGTTCCCTTTGGAAACCAACTTAGTCGTGGCTCTGGGGAGGTGAGGGGCCTAGGACTGGCCAATCAGAGCACTGCATCCCCTGACAACAGTGACTTATGGAGAACTGCTTAGGTTCAAGCAATTCCCTGCCTCAGCCTCCTGAGTAAGCTGGGATTACAGGCACTTGCCACCACGCTAAACTGATTTTTGTATTTTTAGTAGAGATGAGATTTCACCATCTTGAACTCCTGACCTAGGCTTGGCACCCAGAACAGGCCAAGGAGAAAGCAGTCTTAGGGATTTTATTGGAACTCTGGGGAATAGAGCTTTTTAAAAAAAAAAAAATTAATTTAATTTTTATTTATTTTTTGAGATGAGTCTTGCTCTGGTGCCCAGGCTGGAGTACAGTGGCATGATCTTGGCTCACTGCAACCTACGCCTCTTGTTTTAGGCAATTCCCTGCCTCAGCCTCCCGAGTAGCTGGGACTACAGTCACTAGTCACCATGCCTGAATAATTTTTGTATTTTTAGTAGAGATGAGGTTTTACCATCTTGACCAGGCTGATCTTGAACTCCTGACCTTGTGATCCACCTACTTTGGCCTCCCAAAGTTTTGGGATTACAGGCGTGAGCCACTGCGCCCGGCCCTGTTTTTAAAGTTTTATTTATTTATTTAGAGACAGAGTCTTGCTCTGTCACTCAAGCTGGAGTGCAGTGATGTGATCTTGGCTCACTGCAACCTCCATCTCTTGGGTTTAAGAGATTCTCATGCCTCAGCCTCCAGATTAGCTGGGATTACAGGCATGTGCCATGATGCCCAGCTAATTTTTCTGTATTTTTAGTAGAAACAGTCTTTCGCTATGTTGCCCAGACTGGTCTTGAACTCCTGGCCTTCAATGATCCGCCGCCTTGGCCTCCCAAAGTGCTGGGATTATAGGTATGAGCCACTGAGCCCAGCATAAAAAACATTTTTTCTTTCTTCTGGGTTTGCTGAGCTGCAGAAATCTCAATGTGCAGCTGCTGGGGCCATCTTTCTATCATGGGTAGAGAGGCTGCCTAAGAACGGGGCCAACACATATGAAAGTATAGTCAGTGCATGGAAAGAGAAATTTCTGATAGCATCATTTAAACAGCTAGATTCAGCTGTGCCTGATGTCCATACTGATCCTTCCGCTTATGTGCCATGCTGCTCTGTGAATTCTCATTGTTTCCCCTGAGTCAGTTTGTTTTGAGATTCAGTTACTTTAAATCCAAAAGAGCTCTGAAAGGAAAGATGAATGTTGGAAATAGATAATCGGTGCTGCAAAGAAAAATTAGCACTGAGACAAAGGATCTTTCAGCAATGCAGTTTTTACTTCCTGGACTGCAGGAAGGGTACCCTCTCTAGCCATTGTGCCACGAGAGTACAATGAACAAAGGAAAACACACAAATTTATCCCTTACGCATTTGGGGTCATCGTTATTGCTGTGTCTGATCTCTGTTGGCTGGACAGACCTCACAGTCTAAACTAAAACCTGACTGGCTAACAACTTAAAACTTTTCTAAACAGGTAAAAGAAATGGAGAGCTGGGACATGCCTGTGAGCACGTCCAGCACAGATATCTTGGCTAAAGTACAAGGACATAGAATGTACTATGTGCCTGTAAGCATGGCATGTCTAACGGCTACGGAGGATAGGGCTTAACAAAGTTATTAGCACACTTATTCTTTAACAAGAAAGGAAACTTTAAAAAGGAACACTTCTGCTTCCCACAGTGAAGAACAGAGTTTTGAAAGGATCTGACTCTCAATCTAGCTGAGACTCAGGCTGGATAAGGGAAGACTCTGGGGAAGAGACGGTGAAGCTGACCACCGCGAGAGAACTTAGCAGGTTACTGTTTCTGAGAATTGCTGGACTCCATGCAAACCTCTGCACTAACAGATGATCAAGGCCAGGCATAGTGGCTCATGCCTGTAATCCCAGCACTTAGGGCAGGCATCCCCAAACTTTTTACACAGGGGGCCAGTTCACTGTCCCTCAGACCGTTGGAGGGCTGCCACATACTGTGCTCCTCTCACTGACCACCAATGAAAGAGGTGCCCCTTCCTGAAGTGCGGCGGGGGGCTGGATAAATGGCCTCAGGGGGCCGCATGTGGCCTGCAGGCCATAGTTTGGGGATGCCTGACTTAGGGAGTCTAAAGCAGGAGGATTGCTTAAGGCCAGGTATTTGAGACCAGCCTGGGAAACAGGACAAGACCTCATTTCTACAAAAAAAAAAAAAAAAAAACAAATTAGCTGGGGCGTGGTGGCATGCTTGCGCCTGTAGTCTTAGCTACTTGGGAGGCTGAGGTGGGAGGATTGCTTGCACTCAGGAGTCTGTCTCAAAAAAAAAAAAAAAAAAGAAGAAGAAGAAGAAGAAGAAGAAAGAGATGATTAAACTTTAGCAGGGCTTCTAGTAGCATAAGGCATGTTCTTAGGATGATTCCAGCCCCCCAATAAAATGCCACCCAAGAAAGCTCTACCTTGCCAGGAGTATTTACTGTTTGACCTAGCCAACATTTGGCAATATAGCCCTATTCCCTTTTCAGAGCATTTACTAAAAAGGGCCTACAATTGTGAATCCTTCCTCATTCTCTTTGAGTTGTGTGTATACATGTATCTATACCCCACAACTCAGGGTTTTTTGTTTTGCGACGAAGTCTTGCCCTTGTCCCCCAGGCTGGGGTGCAATGGTGCGATCTTGGTTTACTGTGACCTCTGCCTCCCAGGTTCAAGCGATTCTCCTGCCTCAGCCTCCCGAGTAGCTGGGATTACAGGCGCCTGTCATGATGCCTGGCTAATTCTGTATTTTTAGTAGAGATGGGGTTTCACCCCATGTTGGCTAGGCTGATCTCAAACTCCTGACTTCAGGTGATCCACCCACCTCAGCCTTGCAGAGTGCTGGGATTACAGGTGGGAGCCACCGTGCTCGGCCAACTCATAGGTGTTTCTAGAGTACCTGAAAGCCATTCCTTTGAAATAGAATTGTCAGAATGACAGGACCTTCATCTCTCTGTCTCTGTGGGAGGATGGAATTCTACTATGACAATTGCCAGCTAACGGACACGGCTGGCCTAATCCCACTGACACTGTACAACTTTTTTTTTTTTTAGCTGAAAGCTCTCTCTGTTGCCCAGGCTGGAGCACAGTGGCATGATCTCAGCTCATTTCAACCCCCCGCCTCCTGGGTTTGA